TTCTTTTTAAAAAATTATATTAAATAAACATAACTATCAAATTACATAAACGTATGTACGTTTCGTTTCAAAGACGGGAGGACAGTAAATTTTAAAGACTCTGCCATAATCCCGTTTTCCTCGGTTCTCCTCCGCTTAAATCTCCACAACCGGAAATGGACGAGCGTCAAATGCGGAACTTATGCGTGCATATAGCCCATTGAAAAAGCGTCAATGCAAGTGAATGAGAGAAAATAATTCTTTTCTGATCCCGTTTGAATTGTGCCATGAATGTAACATATGTTGTCTGTGAATTTTTTATATAATTTCTCATGTAACCAGTTTGACAGTATATTGTAGGATTCTTTGGCTAGCAGTTGTGGAATAGACATAACGAGAAAGACTACACGTCGCATATGTGACGTCGCCGCATAACACATTTTCCCTCCACAAATCACGGTTTTCACCACGCTCAACTAGTTTGTCCTTTCCCTGAAAGAAGGCGGTGAAGTGCACTAAAGACACAGGCATGTTTAGCGCGATCCGTGTGCTAGTGGTGGTGATGTATATCAAACACGTCGAAAGAGTTGTAGTCCACAAAGTGCTCTCACACAAAGTCTAACCGTATGAAAATTCTACCCGCTAAATTGTAGCATTCTTTACACGAAACATTATATTTAAAAAATCACAGACAAACATATGTTACGTTCATTGCAAAATTAAAACGGAATTAGAAAATAATTATTTTCTCTCATTCACTTGCATTTAAGATTTTTCAACCTAGAGGTCCAGCGGGGTTAGCTGAAGGGGCGGGACTTACCAGCTCTATCATGAACGCAGGGTCCGAATGGGTTAAATCGGTCAACTCCGACTGCCCAAAAATCTGCAGACTGGTTCGTACTTTCAACTCGCCCAGACTGCAAAAACGCAACTCAAAATAGCCATGCAAAGATTGGTTTTTACATACAACAAAAACTCAACTGAATGATTACACAGAAGAATGTGGAAGAGTTGCAGGAATCTGTTGAAGTGTATGAAATGACCTCGAAAGCTCGAATCGAAATGACTAGGCAAGTTGCACATCGACGGAAATGGTTTAACCGCACCTAAAACAGGAGACTGAGTTAGCATTTCTGAACACTAAACATTCCGTCTTCCACAGTTTTACTCACTTGATGCATTCAACTGTCTGCATAATGGAGTCCTCAAAACCCATCGTAAGTTAGTTAGACGTGTCTTTTCCAGACAAGCTGTAACGTTATACTTGACAAATAATCGTGCTTATGTTATGTAACGTTCAAAGTGCAAAGGCATTCAAGGAGCGAAGGAGGCGGAGGGTTTTTGTTGTTTTTTTTTTACCCCAAAAGACCCTAAAGTTTGAGTACAGCTCTTCTACGGAAACTAAAAGGGGGCGTTTCCAAATTTTAGGGTGTTTTCAAACTGGGAGAGGTGTTTTGGTATGGAAGCCTAAAACAAGGCCATCATTATTATTATTTTTTCTTGTTTTCTCGTGATCCTATCTAAGATCACGAGAAACGAACTTATGTCAATATCATGAGAAATAAAGATATATATAAATGACTCAGTATTTTTTTAGCCTTTAATTTACATAGATTTGTCATTTATAATCGTAATAGCCTAATAATTATAATAATGAACATTTATTTGTATAGCACTTTTCATTAATGGAATGCAACTCAAAGTGCTTCACAAGCATAAAAACAAATAATTAGAATACAATTTCACAAAATATCAATATAAAATATTCAAAAACAACTATAGGCTATAAGTGGTTCACATTCACAATGTAAAATAAAAAAAGACATTGGCACAACCAAAACAAAAACAACTATAAGAGACTCAGAAATTAAAATAAAAACCTAAAACAGACATACACACACCTTCACACAATATCGTTATTTTTAAAAAGATATATCTCATCCCGCCTTTTTAAAATATTTGTCCAAATATTTGTCATTTGTCTGTATATTAACTGAAATCATTAGTAGGCTACATACGTAATTTGAGATTGGACTGGGCTAAAAGAACTATCAGCAGTCAAAAAGTGAATGCTATATCTAAACCATCTACTATTTGATTTATTTCATGATTTACAATTTTTTTAAGATAACTTACAACACATTTAATATAATATTATAATTTAAACTATAGCTTGGTACTGTTGAAGTGTGTGTGTGTGTGTGTGTGTGTGTGTGTGTGTGTGTGTGTGTGTGTGTGTGTGTGTGTGTGTGTGTGTGTGTCCATATTGTGATTTACTCTTATGATATGGCCTGTTAAAAATAAAATTGTTTTTTTTTTCATTTTGTTAATTTGACGTTGTTGTTTTTTCCTCAAAGGAAACTTGTTTTTCTAACCTGCTCTGAGAGGGAGACCATAAAATGCCCTGAGCTGGAATGTGGAAGGAGGGGATGATGCTGTACAGGTTGTACAGACCCAACCTGATATCAGAGTTCAAAAATGACCCTCAGGCCTTCAAATATGTGGTCTACATCTTCAAAATGGATAAACAAAAGGTCATATTATCCCCTGGAGGACACAGAAGGTCATATAGGGCAAATATGCACTGGTCATTTGTCATATTGAGCCGGGTCAAAGGAGGGGCCATGTGGGGCAGGTCAAAGTTCACCGTCAATAATTTTGACACAAGGTATTGTCATTTTTAAATCGTATTTGGTGAGGTGATACTATATCACCTCAATCATCAAGTTACCGCTAAACTCTCCAGTGGGTCTCCAGGATCAGGGTTTAAGGAGATTTGGCGCTCTAGGGCAAAGTTTTTGGAAACACTGGTCTAAAATCTACTTACAGTAATCTTTCAGACAAATCCTACAACCAGTTGCAAAAACCCCTTTAACAATCCACCTGAACAATAGCTAACGTAAGCGTTTTCTTTTTTTAGGCTTTCTTAATTTAAGTGGTTTGCTCATGTAGATTCCACTGAATACAGCCTTAGTTTGACGCTTTATCCACTCCCTTCATCCACATCCACTTCAATAAATCCACAGAACAACTCGGGATGAGTATCTTCGTTTACTTGGTAATCAACAAAAAACATCAGCATAGGAAAATTACAAAATAATAAAAAAGATTACTTAAAGAGAAAGAAAGATAAAGGTCAAAAAACTGTGTGGCTCCACATATGTATGCCCGACTGTTTCCGTAGAAAACTTCCTCCTGACTAACGTCATCATGAATTCGCGACAGAGTATTCCCAGCGCGTATAGGTGAATCCACTAAAGTAATATAAAATACACTCTATATTATCCACACACATTTTAGATAATTACACAATTAACTCTGTAAATATCTGTAAATATTCACTTAAATTTTCTCCACATAAAATAAATCACACAAATTACTGTTTAACACATAATTAAACTATTTATCAAATAACTGAATTTAGGCTCCTACAGCTCATTTTCCATATTCACAGTGTTTCAAAAAATGATGTGCAGACTTATTCGGTAATGATAGAAAATCTGTGGAAGGAAACTGCAGGCACATTCACTCTTTCATAGGCCTACTTTCTGTAAATAACAGTGATTATCATAGTTAGACCAACAAAAGTTTTCTTACTATGTGGTAAAAAAATCCCAGGCCACAGACTTACTGTAATAACCATTACTCACTGTGTCTTTGCATGAGGTTAAACCCTGCTTACTCTAAGAATTATTCTGTATGAGATTCCTATACGAGTTACAGTGAATGAAACAACGGTCCAACTATAATGACTTCCTTGGCACTTCCTTCTGCTCTGCTGCTTTGTGTATTCGTAGAAGTGCGATAAAATAAGTTATTGAGAAAGTTTCTCATTATTATGAAATTTTAAGTCATTATTACGAGAACGTTTCACATTATCACGAGATGTTAAGTCATTATCATAAAAAAGGTTCTCATTATTTTGACGAGGACTTAAGAGGCTTAAGAGTTTCTTTAGCAGAGGACAAAATGGCAGAAAGACGAGGGAGAAGAAATGTGTTGCAGACAATGGATGGCAGTTAAAAGAGTTAATAAGATGCTATAGATTGAGACCTGAATTTTCCTTTAATGATGGCCTTGTGTTCATCCACTAACTGGGCTAACTGTAAACACTGTTCCTCTGTCCAGTCGGGCTTTCTCATCCTTTTTTTGATTCCATGTTTGTTACATTAAAACCAACATTCACCACCACTTAATGCCAGCAATCAGTGTAATTGGAAAGAGTTGAACATATATTTTTTTTATCATTCTAAGCAAATGCAACCCTACCAAGGAGACTTGGTTGTATATTCATCAGGATTATTGAGAACATTATTGTCTAACTAATTAAATGATACATAGTTTATATTGATTTAAGTGGGAATTGACTTAGAAATGGAGACAAACCTGACTGATGACTTTAACAAAGAATGCAGTTGAAGTATAGGAACCCGCCCATGACTACCAGTCCAGATCGGTCCAGATTAAATTAACTATTCCAAGAATGCATGGGACAGGGGCTCCAAGAGTCATTAAAGACAAAAGATGACAATAAAGAGAACAGGACTGGCAGGATTCTCTTGCTAAAATCTTAGCACCCAGTTTGAATATAGAGATTATTCAATTAGAGTTAATATTAATTATCTGAAAAAGTATATATAGGCCTACAAGTTTTTGTACTTTTATAAAGATGATTTATTGCAAACGCTGTAATTGAAATAAAGAAAAAAATGTGTTTCTTTCCAGCCCATTCTCACTCCCAAGGCGTCACCTAACTGAGTTAGATGACGCCCTAGGATCGCGTGTACCCTACCCCCACCCCACACCTAAACCTAACCGCGTCCTCTAACTGACGCTTTCCTTTAGCGTCAGTTAGATGACGCCGTAGGATCGCGTCATGTAAGTGACGCTAAAGGGCGCCTAAAACGTCAAATATTGAAGCATGGTCAAAGGTGACGCCTTGGGGTGAGAATGCGTTGTTCTTTCAAACCCGTTGTCCCTCCCTACAACTGCGATTGGTGGGTGCGCGAGGCCCCGCCCTACTTAGCAGCGATTTAATGAGTGACATTTGTATAAATTCTCAGACAGCATCGGTTTGACCAAAGAAGGGAGAATCAAGACTTCAAAATAGCACGAGTTCATACAGTGCAAACATGTATTTTAAGATGATTGTGTCGTTTCTGGCGGTGATGTTGGCCGTGGCGAGCGCTGGGCTGATTGGAGGTCCTGTAGATGCAGACATGAACGACGACGGTGTTCAGAGTGCGCTACAGTTTGCAAAAGCCCAGTTCAACAATCATTGCTTTAATGATTCGTTTGAGCTTCAGATTCGCAAAGTCGTCAAGGTTCAAACTCAAGTAAGTACTTTAAACGTTTGTTTTCCCATTAATGTGGCTAAATCACAGTGAAAAAGGCAGGTCGCTGGCCTGGTGGCACGTCTTGGGTTTTTTTCGAGATGCTGGTCCCACCAGACTCTCGTACATTTCAACATAGATGTTGATCCAGGAACATGTTAAGGTCCTTGCACACTGAGTCCGACATTTTCTTATGCTTTTTTTCGTATTTGTGATTCGAATCGTCAAAACACTATACAAAACAGCTAAAACGCAGAAAATCAAACCCGATTATTTTTATTTTTATTTTACGGACTAAAGTTTGAGGCAGTGTGGTGCAAGCATGATTTTGTGAATTTCGTACGCGAATATCGGTCTCAGGTGACGTCACACTCGCGATTCACGAAGTACATTATGGGTGTAGCCGCCATTTGTAAGGTATCGATGCTGAGGTATTCTGTTGTTGGAGAATAGTTTTTTTCATTCTTTTTTTTCAAAATAAACCATCCTTAACATGGCACTATCATCATCATCAATACAGCAAACCTATCTTTGCTGTTACTAACTTTACAGGATTTATTTACATTCCTACAGAAGGATAAAGTAACTTGGTGAAATGTCCGCGGGCTTTAAGAGATGTATAGTTTTTAAATTGTTCACTGGTAATGTTATATGCTCTTATACCATAAACAAGATAGATGACAGTGCCCAAGTATGAGGATGAGAAAGGGTGAGAAAGCAATGCGGGATCAGCACTCCAGCTTACTGCAGTCAGCTGAGCTCATAGATGGATCTATGTTCTGAATGGATGACAATTTCTCCAAAAAACGGTAACTTACCTGCCATATTTATTGAGTTTATTGCAGTACGGCTTTTTCTCAGTTTTCTTGTGCTTCTGCAGAGTTGCGAGTTATTTACTTGTTATCTCTACTCTCGTAATCTCTTCAATGCTCACAGTCAGTAGAGATACCTCAAAAATGGCGCCGCTGTGACGTCACACACAACAAACCCGCGTGTCTGACAAAGGCCGATTGGACCATGGATTGGATTTATGCTGCGTTCAAGCCCTGCTGGGAAGTTCGTACGTACGAGGTGGGAAGTCGTGTTTACGACGTGAGGTGCGTTCAAGTCAGTTTCGTCGGAGCAAAATGGCGATGTACCTTTTAATGAATTACACGAAAATACAGCAAAGTTTGTTAACTCTGCTAATAAAAAAATTAAGAACAAAGAATGCGCATCAGGTGTGTTTCTTTTTATGTTTTTTATTAGCTTATGAAGCCAATGTAAACTCTATTATTAGGTATAATTTTTATATTATTTTGATATCATATTTTGTGCGGAGAGCTTGCTTTATAAATGAAAAAGCCTTACAATGTCAATGAGTAAACATTGAAATTCAATTAAAATGTACCGTCAACAGACGTTGAATGAACGTTTCTCACTGACACGCCCCCAACTCGTACAGATCGGGGCTTAAAGAAAATCCCGAGCTCCCCACTGGTATTTACGACATTGTGGTGGCGTTCAAGTGCGTTCAACTCGTAATTACGATCTATTGAAATGAGGAGTTGACGTCATTTTACAGTGCCCCTCCCCTTTCCGCCATGTTGGTAGGTTTCCCACGACAAAACAGTATTGATTACGTGTGTTTTTAGCTCGGTAGTAGAGGAGTTTCTCGCACCGCACTGTTTTACCATGCCTGAAAGTAACCGCTGCGTTAAAAACCGATAAAAACCCTGGTAACCGATAGTGTCACCTACCATCATGGCTGAATGGCTCAGACCCCGCCCAAATAGGCACGTGACTCCTCATTCTCAATACGAGATGACTTGAACGCAGCATCATTGTGCAACGGCCTTTACATTTGTTCTGGTTCTGCTTCATGGTGACCGACGACTGTGTCATCAAACCTTTATTTCATTTGCCTGTTTAGACCAATAACTAAACAAAAGTTCTGTAATAACTAAACAAAAACAACTGTATGGATATTTATAGTTATACTTTTTTAATTATATATATACTGTATGTATATATATATATAAATTTTTCAGCTAGTAATTCCATGTCTTTTGAATTTAATGGTAACAATGGAATAAGTTATTATCAAAATTGAAGCGATTTGAGAGCAAAGAAGTTAACACTGGTATAAGGAAGTGCTAAACATCTCTCGAATAGATGCAAAGCAATATACAAAGTATTGTTAGCCCCATCAAACTATTTATATTATAGGACAATTCTTTTTAAAGGTAAGACGAAGGATTTTAGATGTCGTGTTTTGTTTGTTTGAAGTATGACATATATGGATATGTCATATGTTTTTTTTTTTTGTTGTTGTTGTTTTTTTAATTGACCTTGTGCAAAAACATTACAGCTTAAAGTCCTCTTTGCTCACATCATATGAATATTTTAAGCATCAGTTAATGTAGGTTGCTTTAATTTGTGACGCATTACATCAGGGTTTACTCAACAATGCTCGAACGTGTTTTCGGTTGCTCTAGGTAGTGTCCGGCCTGAAATACATCTTCACTGTGAAAGTGGCCAGAACACCTTGCAGGAAGGATGGAGTTAACGACAGCGTTAAGACCCTGTGTGTCGTTCCTGCTGTTGCTGACGTAAGTCTCATTTACAGTATTACAGTTACCTGTTTGCATTTATCAATTTCCTTATGATAAGAAACTTTTTTTGCTTTTAGGTCACTCAGTGCAAAATAGCGGTCTGGAGCCAGCCATGGTTAAACTCAATTATAGTAGTTGAAAACACCTGCATTTAGAGCATGTTTCTTGTGCAGTTTGAGGCTTTTTAACATCTTTTCGGCTTTTTCATCTTTCCTATTGATGAACTTGGAATTTGATTTGTCATAACCTTTGTCAACAATAAATCATGATATAAGAATTCCTCACTAAAGTCTTGTTTGAATCAATTTCTCAAAGTCTACAATTTGTAAGAATTTTTAAAACCACATTTTCTGATATTTGTGCATCCTTTACTTGATGTCTGCACCATTTTTTTGGTTGTATACATTTTGGGAGTCATACTGATTTGTAGGATTGAGAACACTGTATTTTGTCAGTGTATACATGACCAAAGACAACAACCCAGTATTTGTGGTAAGTTGTAGATGTGAAGTTGTAAATGTCAGAATGGACATTTGTGTATGATTTTTAAATTGTTTGGTTATAAATGCTTAATCTTGCACACACCTTTCCTCTGAATATGAAATAAATTGTTCAGAAACATTCACCTCATTGCTAGAAAAAATGAGAAACGGACAAATCAAACAAAATCGACTCAAAATAAATAGAAAATTGAAGTATCCATCATACACTTCACTATTTAAAGCTGCAGTTTGTCAGGGTTTCTACAGATTTCAGTTAGTCAAATTTAAGACCATAAACATTGAAATTTAAGACCTAAATAACACATTTCCAAAAAATAAAATAAATATTTGGAAAATTTATTTCAATGAATTCAGTAATTGAAAAAGCTTTATTTTACCGGTAAAGCAATCACATTAGTGTTTTCCACACCCAACAATATGCCAGATGTCCAAAACCTTAAAATGAACCTAAAATGAAAAAAGTTCAAACAAACTTGCCCTCAAATAGAATAGTGTTCATTTCATACTTATTTATATTACAAAACAGCATATTAATACCCTAACATAGATTGTGTGTGTAAAAGAGCGTCAAAGAAAATAACATTTACAGAAAGTATAGAAATTTGTACTTTGCATTTTATACTGTAAACACAATTACAGTTGATTTTAGTTGATCATACCTAGAGATGAAATGGCACAAACATTTAACTTCATGATTATTATGAAATCAATTTGCCAAATGTCGAAAGGAAATAAATAAAATTAGCATCGATATGCACTTTTTGACAAATAAATAGATTAAGATCAACAAATAAATGTAAAGAGTTTCACAAAAAAATATAAATTTCACAAATAAATAAAATGGGCCAAGTATTTGGAAACACTGGTCTAAAATCTACTTAGTGTTTCAGACTATGCTAAATCTTGCAGCCAGTGGCATAAACCCCTTTAACAATCCGTAATGATTATACCTGAACAATATAGCTACAGAAACGGTTTCTTAATTTGAGGGGGTCGTTCCATATTCCATATTCACAGTGTTTCAAAAAATGATGTGCAGACGATTTATTCGGTAATGATAGAAAATCTGCGGAAGGAAACTGCAGGCACATTCACTCTTTCATAGGCCTACTTTCTGTAAATAACAGTGATTATCATAGTTGTAAGAATCAACCATATTCCACACAATGCACTAATTAAGCAGAGACAAAATATTTAACACATGTGACTTAACCATATACAATTACAGTACAAAGTTAGAGCAGCAGTTTTTTAAATACTTCTTTTAGAACATAAACTGTGGTTAAAAAAAATCCAAGGCCACAGACTTACTACAATAATCATTATAGACTCACTGTGTCTTTGCATGAGGTTATACCTAAATGATTCTGAGATTCCTTGAGTTACAGTGTAGGAAACAACTGTCAGACTCAGACTTCTCTGAGATGGCAATGTTGTTACCACTTAAATAAAGGGACTCAAAAGTGGTTATTTTTATACCATATAGTTGTTCAAGAAGTTCTGGATTTTGTTTTATAGAGGGAACCAGAGAATGGCATTTTGTGTTTCTTTGCACCTACTTTGGTTGAGAGCACGATAGCAGAGACAGATATATATAAAACCAGAACATAAGCCGTAAAGACCTGTAAATCACGCTGACTCAAGCTGCTTATAAGGACAAAATAAATGAAATTGTCAATAGAAACAAAGAAAAAGGGATTTACAAAAATTAAAACCCAGTTGACAGTGGTAGTAGGTAGCTGAAGTAGGCAGGCCAGTTTGGTAGAGAATTCAGTTAGTTAATATTAATTATCTTAAAGTATATGCTTCATAAAAGTACAAGAATACATTCAAATGTAAAAAAAAAATTAGCCTATACAACCCTGAAGCACACATACATAAGAGACGTCTATTTTCTATTTGATGTTTTTTTTTAACATCTGGAGGAGTGTTTGCTCATCTGCATTACGTCTAGGACGTTTCCTGTCAGATGTCAAATAGACATTTAGAAGATGTCTTTAAGATGTAATGAATTAGAATGTTGGCCTATGTTTAACTGACATTTTAAAGATGTCTATCAGATCTTGCAGACATATACGTGTGGTATCTGGGAACCAAAAAACCATTAAAACATTGTCAAACATCTGAATAAATAACAACACATGACAAAACAAGCATAAATAATTCAAATGCAATATTTATAAACCGACATTAAGTAATTGTGATGTTTTTTTAAATATAGATATTATAAAATAATTACAAATAATTGCATATTTGTGTAATGCAGACAGAAAGGTATTCCAAATACAGTAGTCGCCTTGCAACTTGCAAGCACTGTAATTAAATTAAAAAGAGAAAAGAAGTTTGTTTGTTTCTTTCAAACCCATTGTCCCTCCCTACAACTCCGATTGGTGGGTGCGTGAGGCCCCGCCCTAATTCGCGCACGTAGAGAGTGCTTGTTTATAATCTCAGACAGCATATTTGGTTCCATTCAGTTTAGATTGGACGACATAAAGGAGAAAGACAGTTCGAGTTCATTAATACAGCTTAAACATGTATTTTAAGATGATTGTGGTGCCGTTTCTGGCGGTGATGTTGGCCGTGGCGAGCGCTGGACTGGTTGGAGGTCCTGTAGATGCAGACATGAACGACGACGGAGCTCAGAATGCGTTACAGTTTGCAATGGTCCAGTACAACAAGCAAAGCAATGATGCATTTGTGCGTCAGGTTTCCGAAGTCGTCAAGGTTCAAAAACAAGTAAGTATGCCTACTTTAAACGTTTGTTTTGTCATTTATACTTGGAACGACACTAAATCACACCCTGGTGTCATGGTGGAACGTCCTGATTTTGCCGAGATGCGTCACTGTGTTACATAGACTCTATGTCAACATATTTAGTTGATTCTGGAACAACATTCCAGAATCCGTGTTTTTGTTTTTTTTTATAGCCCTAACCATATCCTAACCTAACACTTATTAGTTAGACTATCCCCGACATCAGAGGGAAATGATAGGTGAATAAGAATGGTGTAGAAGCACCTAACCCTGGTTGTAAGTAACTTGACATTATCTGTAAACCTATCAGTCAAATCAGATTGTTTGATTTGAATGTTAATCCAGGAATATGTTACACTTGGTGAAATAAGGTTCTGTGTCATGGTGTGTATGACTGTCAAATGGGAGTGTGTCTGTGTCAACAAACCTGATTTAATTGACAAAAGCCTGTTTAAAACAAGGCAGTGACAGTTACAAAGATGTGACTGTATACAAATAAGTGAATAACAAATAACTGTCTGAATAGATTTTTCAAACTTACTTTTTTATAGTAAGTAGGCCTAATCCAGTAGCAACTATTCAGCTAGTAATGCCTATAGGATTTAATGGCAAACAATGGAATAGGGTAATTATTATCAATATTGTTAAAGTGATTTGTAGCAAAGAAGTTAACATGGGTATGAGGAAGTACTAAGTATCTAATAATTATTATGTATTAGAGATGTTGGAAAATATTCTAGGAATAAATAAATAATATATGTTAAAACAAATTAATATTTTCAGAACCCTTGAAATTTTTGCCAGTTGTATGTATCCAAATCAATATACAAAGAGAGTTGTTGCCCCAACATGGAAATTATTTATATTATAGGGGAAAGATTTTTTTTTTAAAGGTAAGGCTGTAAAGGATTTTTCAGATGTGTTTTTTATACAGTATTTGAAGTATGACCAATGTTTTTTGAAAATTGACAAAACTTTTTATTGCTTAAAATGTTCTCTTTGCTCACATCATGAAATGTTCATGGTAAGAAAGATATTTTAAAAATCAGTTAATGTAGGTTGCTTTTGTGAAATTGTGACGCATTACATCAGGGTTTACCCAACAATGTCTGAACATGTTTCTGGTTGCTCTAGCTTGTCTCGGGCCTGAAATACATCTTCACTGTGAAAGTGGCCAGAACATCTTGCAGGAAGGGTGGAGTTGAGACCCTGTGTGTCGTTCATGAGGACCCTGCTGTTGCAGACGTAAGACACATTGTCTCATTAACATTATGTTACCTGTTTGTATTTATCAATTTCTAAAGTAAAGTAAAAATATTTACTTTTTTTTTTCCTTTTTAGGTCACTCAGTGCAAAATAGTGGTCTGGAGCCAGCCATGGTTAAAATCAATTAAAGTGCTTGAAAACACCTGCATGTAGAGAATGTTTCTAGTGCAGTTTGAGTCTTTTTAACAATCATGCAGCAATAAAATTGACTTATTCCTAATTATGGTAAGCTAGTCTTTACTATTCATAAAATAGGAATTTGATTTGTTGTGATAACCTTTGATGTCAACAACAAATCATGATATAAGAATGCTTCGCTAACACAATAATCATGCAATCTCATTAAACTCAATTGCTTTGAAAAAATCTACAATTTGTAAGAATTTCTGAATAATAAACTGCATTTCCAATATTTGTTCATCCTTTATTTAATAAAAGATGGTTGAATGAGATATGTCTGTGCACTGTTTTTTGGTTAAATACATTTTGGGAGAGTCATACTGATTTGGAGGATAGAGAACACTGTATATTATTTTGTGAATGTATACTTAAACAAAGAAAACAACCCAATAGTATTTGTTGTGATAACAGTTATAGGAGTGTAAATACCAGAACTGATATATTTGAATGTGATTTAAATTTAAAATTCATAAAGTTAATAAATTGAACTTCTCCTTTTATGCTTCCACTCCTCTGTGAGAGATACGAGACTGGTGCGTTGCACAGTTCATAAGTCTGTTTTTTATATCAGTAAAGTCATTTTTCATGAAATCACGATGTTATAGTGTGTCATGTTTAGGTATGCATATTAACTAGTGAACTCAGACATGAAGGAAAACAGAAAGGACAGAAAACATTCAAAACTGAACATAACTGTTGCCTAACATAACTGTGAAACCATGAAAATAGTCCATACCAAATGTTGGTATGGCGATAAAACACACTTCGAATAAAACAAATTCGAATAAAGCCTAAATAAAACTGTATGTAAAAAATATTTTATCATTTTTCTAATCTTATTTTAGTAGTTACTTTTTAACCTATCAAATGTTATTTTATGTTTATATGTAGGCATACAAACAGCTAGAGCTATTACTTTAACCACGCGAATAGTTAGAGACTTGCTTGAAACCATAAACTGTATAAACCTTGAAACCTATAATGGTGTGTATATTGATAACTTATGATGAAACTGCGATCTGCTCTGCTCTTGGACAAAGACAGTGGCGCGCGACCAAGTCATCAGTGTAGCTTGCAGCGCCCTCTGTTGGAGATAATAAATAAGCTCTGATTGCTCTTAGTCGGGAATTTTTGCAGTGTATTTGCTCGGTGTTCTGTACATGTTGTCGAAGTACGTGGACATAATGTCCAGGAAATTTCCGGGAACAAGTCTAGTCGGGGACAGCACAAAAAACCCCGGCATTGTCCCGAGATATTGGAGATAACGTCTTGTCACCCTACATTTCCTGTGTTTGACTTTGTTCTGGATAAGACAAATCTGCCACCTCTGGCAAAATCAGTTTCACTTTAATGAATTGACTGATTTTACTGTGAAACATGAAATGTTTAAATTCAGATGAGTTAAAAATAGCAGAGACTACTTTATATGCGCATCTGCCTAAATCCATTAAGGTAAGGCTATGTTTATTTTATGTCACAGTAATCCGCGAATGCTTTTACTGTCGCATTTAATCAAATACTTTCTTTTTTTTAGGTGTATGGGTTTGTTTTTGCTATAAACAGGGGGAAACCACACACGTTGGAAGTATTGGTGGATAAGTGGCCCGCTTTTACCACTATCATTGCTCGACCAGATCCAAATGTGAGATTTCCTTGATTATATTAACTATCCAAAACTTTGTCTAACTAAACCACTTTACAGTTAACATCACTAATGTTCGTCTGAAATCATTAGAATAATCGAGCAAAGGACTTTATGAAGAAGGTGACTCTTTACAGTACAGATGAAGAAGTCATGAGAAGAATGTTGACTGTGGAAAATGCAATTGACTGGAGCACATACTTCTTAATAGGAGGTAGGCCTATGTCTTTTCCCCCAATTTTATATTATTAATGCGACTTCCTGTTATTTTAATTACCCTACATTAATGCTAGGATGTGATGTACGTCATTCACCAATGCTGGAGGAAATTGCTGCTTCTCGGGGTGTCAAAATGAAAGGTTTCTCCTTAGTGCACCTAATGATATCTGATCCCAGTAATTTACCTGAGCTCATTTCCAGGTAATACAGCCCCTATATTTATTCTGTTTCAAAAGGTTATGTCATGAACCCATAAATATCGATTTGTGTTGCATTATATGCATTTAAATAAAAGATTGATAATAATGCATAAAATATCTGTTGTATCTTCGCTTCCTTCCTCAGTGACCTTGAGACCAGAGTGTCTGTCCTGAATGAGTCACATGCCGATGTAGTTAACAAGACTTGGAAATTTGGTGGGGATGACAAAGGTTACAGGAACATCCTGAATCTCATCAGCCATTTCCCCACATGCTGCATTACAGACGAGAACAACCAGCCTGTGTCCTGGTTACTGTTGTATGATTACTGTGCCATTGGAATGTTATACACTCTACCAGAGCACCGTGGGAAAGGATATGCCAAAACCCTGGTCACTACAATGGCAAAGAAGCTCCATTCTCAGGGCTATCCTGTTTACTGTTTCATCGAAGAATGCAATCAGCTTTCCTACAAACTTTTTACAAACCTTGGTTTTACTGAGGACGGCTCTTATAGGGCTGCCTGGTACGAATTCATTTGTTAAAATGAATACACACTTACTCCTATATGCGACTAAAAAACCCCTCCTTGAATGTCACCTGTCAACATGAAATCAAAATTGACAATTCTCTTTTTTTTTTTTTTGTTAAAAATGGCAGTGTTATTATAAATGATTTATTCATGCACGTCATTATTTAAAAATCATATACACTTGTAATCTTTAATCAAAAACATTATCTTTCCCTCCCTTTGCAACTCTGATTACATAAAGGTGCTGTCACGTACAAAAATACAGTTGTAACATTTTCTATACATTTTGTTGATGACATTGTGTTCTAGAACTTTCACTAAAAATGTTTTATGAATGAAGAAATACACCAAACTTATGTTTGAACATCAGAAATGACGATTATGCACACATATGCCTCATGTTAGGGGAGATCTGTCATTTCAAGTATTAAGTTGAGTTAATGGAGAATGCATCTGCAATTTCCATTTTAAATTAAAAAAAAAAAACAATTTAATATGGCCTATTTACACAAATATCCCATTCAGAGTTGTATTTTGCTGGAAATTACTTAGTTTCTCAAATGTATTTATAAACCAGCCTCAAAAAATTATCTGATGCCAAACTTGTGGCTGCAGTAGCAATACATATTTTTGTGGGGGAAATCCTTTTTAATTTTATAAAAAAAAAAAAAAAGGATTCTCAATGCTAGGGGACCGTAAGATTACTCATTTATCCCCCCCCCCCCCCCCCGCCGGAAGTACAAAAAGATAACTGTTCCCATATGCATCACTCAATTACAGGCATTTTAATAATATATAGGTATATTTCATAAAACTATTCTAATTAAATATTGTACACAAAGGAAATAAATAAAGGTGCCGATCCGGAAACAATTCCACGCAGGGAGCTGTAGATGTAACGCGTTGCATGCATAGACTGTAGGTTGCATGCATAGGTTGCATGAACATTTGTGAACTCTAAACTTTAACGTTTACCAGAGCCATGGCTCTGACGTTTACTAACCCTTAAAAAGCAACCCCTTCCTGTCTACCTAGTTACGTATGTACTGGGTAGGGTTGCCAGCTCTGCGTTAAAATAACTCACCAAAAATCAAAATAGGCCTGTGCCATACTTAAAATATCCATTTGATTGTCAGTGGCAGACCGGTATATAAAATGAACAAAGCTCAAAGCTAGATACCAGTGACCCTACTTTACAAAAATTAAAATCTAGCAGTTTTAACGATGGTAGAATATCAAGTATTTCGATACAAGCATTTCAATTCAACACAATTTATGCAATAATGTCAAAAACTTTGATCCGCGTGGAACAAAAAACAACCCGCGGCAACCGTTCAAACGTAGTGCATTCCGCGAGGAAACAGCGGATTTGGCAACCCTGGAACGTGGTCTGTTCTATGGTTCAGACCATAGACGGGTTCGGACTCGGAGGCTTTTAAAAGCGCTCAGTAGACACTCTCACGCCGAAAGAAGGGACCCCTCACAATGCGTCAGCTGACTACAGAGGATCTGAAGACCCTGGAAGTAGACCTTAAAAACTACTTTCCACAGTCGCTGCAGGTTTTAAAAATTACTAAAATTCATAGAATGCTTTACTTTAGCCAGACCTACATGCGACTTAACCGCCAGCAATAAACGTTAAACGTTGTGTGTGTGTCCTGGATACATACAGGTATATGGATGTATTGTTCAACTCAACAGAAGGAGAGCTGATCCTGTTAGTGTGTTTGTTGACCTGTGGCCGGACTTCAGAGTTTTACTCATTAAACCAGAAATTCGTGAGGTATAAGGAATTTGTAAAATTTAAGTGATTGGTTGGATATTTCACAATATTTTGGATAGGTTCAACAACCCATTTTTTTCTACAGACAGGAGACCATTTCAAAGACTTGACTGTGTTTTCAAAAAACGATGTCTGCCTCAGAGACCTGCTGCTGGCACAAACAGATGTCATTGACTGGAAAATGTATATTTGCTTAGGTAGCCTACTTGTATCTCTTTTGCAAGTTTTTTTTTTTTTTTTACATTAGTATAAATCACTAAAAAGGTCTCAAACTCTTTTTTTATTTAAATCTTTGTCTCAAGCCACTGAGCTTCATCATGAAAAGATGCTGGAATTCGTGGCTATAAACAGAGGTGTACCCATGAAGAAAGAAGCAGTGTGCCTGGAAATGGTTCTTCGAGAGCCATCAAAATGTTCACAAATTGATAGGTGAAGTATACACTGTAATCATTAACACCACTCTTCAGACACAATTTTAGGGCAGTTCATAGTTCAAGCTATATTGCAGTAATTTGTCACTGAGTGCAAGCACTGTAAGTGAAACATAACCTTTTAATGGCTCTTCGGTTGTTGTCATCATCATTGTATCTCACTCTTAGCAACTCTCATAAATAAATGCCATTGGATATGAATGGGAAAATGGGAAATTTAAAAATACAAAGCAATTCTGTCTAAAATGAGCCACAATGAAGTAGTCTTCTTTGATCATGTCTAAAATGTATAATGTAAATATGTATTATTTTATATTTCTAATATTTTTTTTTATCACTTAGAGGTTATGTTGTCTAGTACCATGAAATCCCCTCAAAATTCATCATCCTGCATAATACTGCAATCATTTATTTAAAAAAAAATGTTGACCCTTATTTTCTTTGATCTGTAATTTACCACCAAGGATTGCAAGTGTGACCCCTGAAGGCAGGCTCACACTCACACTACAGGACTTTTGGCTGGATTTTGATGTCGCAGACAGATTTCCGAGGTCTGTGACAAAACCCCTGTCGCTGAAGCTCGTCAAATATGAGCATGTCAGCGGCGTGATCTGAGTCTGTCTCACACACTGCCCAATTTTCAAACCTGTTGGATATTATCAAAACGTGATCTTGTAGTGTGAGTGATGAAACAACATGGTAAACTGCTCTTATGATATCATGCACCTAAACATACATGAATACAAGGTGACAATTTGACCATAATTGTTTTATACTAAGAATCTAACAAAAAAAAATATATCTAAAAAATGTAAATAAGTGGTCTTTGCTCTATACTTAACATTATGATATATTTGATTTACCATCAGGTTTTGCTGAATTCACATGGACAGCCAACCTGCGTGCATTTCTGACCAATCTTTTTTTCTGTACAAAAATTGTTGTGTCATGTGAGCACTGTGACAATTCACATAGCCTCATAGTTCTGTAGTGTGAGCCTGCCTTTAGTGAGAAATATCAGGTTAAACTAAAATTTGTTTTCTTTTTCCTGCAGTGTATCACTGAAGCTGTCTTCTCTCAATGAGTCTCATCTTGCACTAGTCAACAGTAGCTGGAAATTTGGCTGTGAACACAGCAAAGTAATGATTAAGAATATGATTTTGAACTTTCCCTCTTGTTGTGTCTTGGACGCAGATGATCAACCAGTAGCATGGATATTAACGTATCCCTCCTGTGCTCTGGGAATGTTGTACACTGTTCCAGAACACAGAGGAAAAGGCTATGCAAAAGCACTGGTCACCATTATGTCAAAAAGACTCCACTCTCAAGGCTGTCCAGTGTACTGTTTTATAGAGGAGAAGAACCAGTTATCCTACAGGCTCTTTACAAGCCTGGGTTTCACAGAGGAACCGGATTACAGGGCAGCCTGGTTTGGATTTAATGATTTTTAATTGGGCCATATCAGAACAACCAAACAGAATGGTTTAGCTTCTGTCTGAAATGCTATGTATTATGTAAAAGCTGTTTTCTGATTTAATGTAGTACAACTTCCACAAGGCACCATCAACAACCAAACAATTGATTTATTTAAATAAGGATTCATTCCATCAATAAAATGTGTACAACACAACTATTTATTCTTTGTATCACATGTAAAACAAACATTGACAGTTAAACTACATTTGTAAGCCGTTTCATTTTTCTGCATACTCTTCTAGTCGAAGCAGCCATTTCTCCCAGAATGGCCTAATCTGCTTTGAGTTCAAGAAGTGAGCATGTGCGGGTGATCCATCTTTGTAGGCCACCACAATTAAACCGTTTTTTACCTATGTGTAAACAACAGAACATGATGAAAGACTCCAATGGAAAACTTCAACAAGCCATTTAAAGAGAGTAAATACCTTTAGGCCCTGTATATACCTGGCAATAAGATGTTCATTAGTGGTCAGACAAGACCGTTTACACAGTAACATGTGACCACTTTCAAATAGATTTTGAGGGGAGCGATTTTATGACTACATAGTCTGTTCAAAGGTTTAGTGTGTAAGTAAGATTTTTTAAATGCTTCAGGAAGTCTCTTTATTTGATCAAAATTAGGAAAGGGGCTAGAGTGATTAAGCTAATCAGTATTTATATGGGATGATTAGAATGCTGTGATTGACAGAGGCCAATGGGAAAATTAGGCCAGGATTGCAGGGTTAAACCCCTACTCCTTTTTGAAGGACATCCTGGAATTTTTTACAACCACAGGCACAGAGAGTCAGGACCTCGATTTAACGTCTCATTGACGATATAGTGTAGTATAGTGTATAGTGTCCACATCATTATACTGGGGCTTTAGGATCCCCTGCTGGCCTAACTAACACACATATGTTTCCGATCTCAAGTCATTGTAATGTTTACCTGGTAGCTGTAGTTGTTGTCACTGTTTAAGGCTCCAATGTAGGCAGCTACTTGTAATGGATTGTCATAAGTATGGTGAAGCAAGGGCTTAGGCTTTTCAGAGGTCTTCCAGTCAATGACACACAATGAACCTCTGTATGAAAGCAAATGAACTTTAGCTTTAGGGGACAATTCAGCATGATCAACATATAAAAAAAGGAACAATGTCAATATGTGTAAGAAAGCATCAAGAATACATGATTCTATTAAAAACTAAATAAAAAAGGTGTATGATAAATCTGATTAAGAATTCTTACATGACTTTTTGATTCAAAGGAATTCATCTCACCTGTACTGAGCGACACAATCTACAATCCCCAGGTACTGTAAAGTAGAATGATGGACAGCACTCTCAATAGCTCTCACTCCTGTTATATCATTCAGCACATGAGACGCACTCTCTAAAAACCCGGACACCTCCAATGGGCGATCAGGGTCCTCTTTAGATGGGGTTTCCGGGGTGAAATGGTCCTCAATGGCAGAATGGAACAGCTGTCCTTGTCTGAAAATTTCTAAAAACAACACATTAATTAGGAGTAGTCCTTTTAATATTCAATTAAAGAAAATAAATATGCTTACTCAAGCTGTATTCTTTAAATCCTTCCTCTCCGAGTTCAGCAATCATCATTCTCTTCCACCTCTCCAGGTAAAAGGCTTGATCAGGTGGCATGGTCTTCTGTAGGATTCGGGTCACACTAGGTGATGTCGTATTAGAGTCCCTCTGTAATGGTATACGAGCCAAAGGTCCCGGAACATATTCCGACTGACCTTTGGCCTCATTTAACAGTGGATGCAGGTTTTTAGGTACTTTGGGCTGTTGTGAAGGCGGTCTGGATCTTATTACAGGTCCGTACAGCTGACAGTCCTCATCCTCGATGCTCACAGGAGTCTGGGAGCTGGTTTTTGAGGTCAACACCGCGCGCACCAGAGACTTGTAGCGCTCTGTGTCCACTGTGCTGTATTGACTGACCTTTTTGCGCGCTCGCCATTGACAGCTGGTTGAAAAGTGGTCCACACGCGAGAACTGACCAGAGGGCAAGCCCATTGATCTCGCACACTTGCATTGTATCAATACCTTCAATACTTGCATTGTAATCGCCATATGTAATGTTCTTATCCGGTTTATATGGTGATGTTTACATCTACTTTCCCATGCTTTGGAAAATGGATAGATAAATTAAAATAAATAAACAAACAAAAAATAAAGTAAGCGATCACGATTGTTACTACATTTCAGATTCAAATGGAGCGCAGTTTGAACTGGATCTACTGGGGAATTATTGTAATTGTAGTTTGAACGTCATCAAACGCACGTTGAATGTGTTCAAATAAAACAGCATTTCCCACAATGCAACTTTTATGAAAAGGATTTGAAAGTAGTTTTTTGTATTTAATCGACAGCAAACGCATAAGTTCTATATGTATACAGGCTCGACGTTCTGAAGTAGAAATTCAATAAACAATTGTATTGAAATTACTCGAAGCTTTTTAACACGTTACTACGGTTACACGTCCACTTTACATCTTCTACAGCAGCTTTTCACAAGTCACATCTGTGACATCACATGCTGTGTTAATGAAGTTATTTAATATTATTATTGCTCTATAAATTGGGTATGTAATATGTTTTTTCTCACTTTCTTGTGCGAAGCAGCTGTAGTCAAAACATAACAGTGTTTTAAAGACTTTTATTTTGACGTGTTGCCAGAAAAAATTCGATCCCCCCGGATATCCACAGTGACAGGCTAAGGAAAGTGAGGAGCACGAGCAGCAGCAGTTGGAAAGTTAAAAGTACTGTTTAATGTACAACTCAGAGACGTTACAATAAGTGAAATATCTTCTGAACATGACATCTATATCACAGGACAGTGATAAGGATAAGGTAAGTGTCGCCATATCTCTCTATTATTGAGTCCAAGTTTGTTAATGAATACTGTTTAAGCACTCGTCTTTCTCGGTTGCTTAATAACCGCCCATCACTGTTTTTAACTGTAATCGCACGTTTGTGATAGCTTTGACTCTTTTTTAGCTGTGTTCCCCAATAATAACAAAGGCAAACCAGTTTTAAAGCCGTCTTAGTGCCATAGTCTATCTGTATATCGTCCGTCCATCTGTCTGTTTGTTAATAATGATAATATTTCAGCTGGCAGTGTAATTATATTGCTGTGATATTGGCCAATGCGTCATTAGTTGTTTGTTTTGTCAATAGGTAACAACATTTAAAAACGAATCGTCGAAATTTATAAATAATTATTTTTAAGTCTCTTTTCTGTAGACATCATATGAGGAAGTTTCTCTAACTGCTTTTTCCGCACTCTATGACCGTTCACTGAGTTACGCCGTTTTTGTAGTAAACGACTGCATGTTTTGTTGAATAGGTGACTGAATAACATTTTTCCTTTTTAGACAGATGAGTAAAATGTATACATTTTCATTTATTTTCCACCCGCAAAATCCATTCAGGACTCATGGAGACAAGTCATAACTAACGTTACAGTTCTCAGTCTTTATTTAAAGCGCTCTTCTTGATTTCTCAGATTGAGTTTTTAACAAATCTTTTTTTTTTATCTTGGTACAGGTGCGTTCGGTATCAGTCGACTTGAACCACGATGCATCTCTCCTTATCGATATTCCTGATGCCCTCTGTGAGCGTGACAAAGTCAAATTTACCGTCCACACCAAGGTGAGCCAACAGATCAAATTTGCTGCCATTCAAATGCTCGAATGGCTTGCGTGCGTTATGTATTATTAAGTGTAACTTACCATGATCTATAACATTTTGACTATCAATGTAGTTTCTGCAGTTTTAAATACTTATACTGTCAATTTGCTCTTCACATCCTCTCAGACCACACTTAGTTCCTTTCAGAAGCCAGAATTTTCTGTGCCACGACAGCACGAAGATTTCATCTGGCTCCATGATACAATTGTGGAGACTGAGGATTATGCTGGCCTCATTGTAAGTTTAAAACCCATATCCATATTGTCCAGATTTATGAATACTCATAACCAGCAACAGAAGGCAACTTTTGGCCAACATGCAAACTATGGACTCTATTGACCATCTGTTTGCATTGTACATGGCTTGCTTTTACAGTGTACTTTCCTCTTTGCTCCCTTGTCGATATTCCTCAGATTCCTCCCGTCCCGCCAAAACCAGACTTTGAGGGTCCCCGGGAGAAGATGCATAAATTGGGAGAGGGGGAATCGAGCATGACAAAAGAAGAATATGCCAAAATGAAGCAGGAACTTGAGGCGTGAGTCAAATTCTACATTATAAATGTTTTTTTTTTCTGCACACAAGTTGTGGCATTGCTGACATTTAAATGTGTATATTTAAATCAGTGTATCGTTTCAGAGAATATCTTGCTGTTTTTAAGAAGACCGTGCAGGTTCATGAAGTTTTTCTTCAGCGACTCTCCTCCCACCCCGTCTTCAGCAAGGACAGAAACTTCCAGATATTCCTGGAATACGACCAGGATGTGAGTCTTCCGCTTTGTCTAAGCCAGTCCTGTTCTTCCCTGACCAGGAAACAGAGAGACAGTGAGAGGGACTGTTGGCATTGTTAATTTCCTGAGAAGCTGCAATGCTGGCAATTTACACAGACATGGAGATAGGTTGGAGTATGAGTGCAGAAGATAAAGTGGGAGGGGAGAGGAGAGGGGCCACTTCCTGCATGGTTAAGCACAAAAACGGTCTCTGATTGGACAGCTGTTTTTTTGCTGATTCAGATATAGAAAGAGAGAGAGAACAAAAGTGTCTTAAAACTCTAACTAAGTCTTGTATTACACTGATAAGTGTCAGTTATACTGATAACAAAGACACGGATGACCTTCTTGGATCTCAGCCAGTCAACCAGTGGCGATAAAGAGTGCACATTATGGTTCTGCCTTCTGATTGGTTCATATCGTGCTTGACTTTGGAATTCTCTTTTCATTTGCGTTTAGCTCACCGTAAGGAGGAAAAATGCCAAGGAAATGTTTGGTGGGTTCTTTAAGAACATGGTAAAGACCGCTGATGAGGTCCTCATCTCAGGGGTCAAGGTCAGTGTGTCAATCACAACAGGCAGCAGTGTTCCGTCTCATGTCATGATATGTCAATTAAATTATTTTCTTTTTGCAGGAGGTTGATGAGTTTTTTGAACAGGAGAAGACTTTTCTGTTGGATTATTCCGTTAAGATCAAAGACTCCGCTGCTAAGGCTGAGAAAATGACCCGTTCACACAAAAGTGAGTCCATTTTATCCAAACGAATCATCTGGCTGCAAACGTTTTGGCTATTTGTTTATGCTGAAATATATTCATATTCACAAAAAGATTGTCTTTCTTTTTTTTTTTTTTAGATGTTGCTGATGATTATAACCACATTTCTGGGGCTCTAAACAGCACTGCTGCAGACAATAACTCTGCCTTTAAAAAGTGAGAAGTGCATTTCATCTTGCTTGCCATAAAAAAAGCATGATCAAAGAACAGCAATAACTGTTTCCTACATTAAGCAGCATAGCATAATTAATTGATATGCAAGTGAAACTAATAAAGTGTAAAGTTAGTAGTAGCATTTTCACTTCCCCTACCAAAATTTTCACTAGCAATATTGTAAAAAAATTCAATGTTATTTTTATATTATTTACATTTAAAGCGGCAAAATTGACAACAAATACATTCCACAAAAACAAGTTGAAGCTTGATGATGTTAGATTTTTCATTTTTACTTCATCTTTCTCCATCCAGGCACTTAGAAAAATGTGCTGATGTGTTTGAAAAGCTTCGTGTGAGTATCTCTGTAGGATTTATCTTACCAACTTACAAACCGACTGTTGCCATGTTCAGAAGATCAAGTGACTTGTTATGTCATGTATGTGTTTTTCAGAAAGTGGAGGACAGGGTGGCATCAGATCAAGAGCTCAAGCTGACAGAATTGTTAAGATACTACACAAGGGACATCCAGGCTGCTAAGGTGAAACCTTCCCTCTGTTTTTGTTACATCAGTTGTATATTATATGGATTGTATAATTCAACCAAGTATATTAGATTGTATGTTTTATAGTTGTTTCCAGAATGTGTTCATTGTTGGGTGGAAACTCACATGTTTGCCCACCAGACCTGCCTTGGTTTTTTTTGCCAGTCTGTCAGACATGCACGTCGTTGTGTTCCTCAAGTGCATGTCATTCGTTGTAACAGCAACAGAATTTCTTTTTTTAATCTCATAAATCTTACACTGTAGCTTGTCTGGAAGCCATCGTGTAAAGAGAACCCACACTTGACTGAGCATCCTGGGCCATTGTTCACTAGCACTCAAATAAGTTGATTTATCCGAATTATAAGTTTATCAATAATGTATGCCATTGCTTCCTTAAGGACCTTTTGTATAGACGAGCACGGGCACTTGCCGATTACGAAAATTCCAATAAAGCTCTTGACAAGGCTCGTCTGAAGGGTAAAGACATCGCGCAGGCTGAGGAGAACCAGAAGCAGTGTCTGCAAAAGTTTGACAAGCTCTCTGATTCTGGCAGGAAAGGTGTGTTTTACAATCAAAACCTATTTTTATTTATTACTTTTATTACTCTGATTGTCTGAGTTTATAATACATGAAGAGTTAATGTAGTCTTTATAGATCCAGGCAGGTAATTGAATCTAGGTTTGAATTTTGCGAGAAGTGATCTCTATGAACTATTTAAATTATGCCTGGTTAATTGCAGAGAAAGTTGAAAGAATATTGTTGGCAAACTAGAAAGTATCTAAAAAAGTTGTCATGCAAGAGGTTCGGTTTTAGGTGAACTTCCTTTAAGTGAGTAATTACCTACTAACATTGGTTGCATGTGTTTGTAGAGCTCACCAGCTTCAAGGCAAGGCGTGTTATAGCCTTTCGTAAGAACTTGATCGAGATGACTGAGCTGGAAATAAAACATGCCAAGGTGAGGATGATGAAGTGTCATGTGTCCAGGTGGTACATTGATTCCTACAATCGTGAAAGACCTGGTAAATCAGAGAATTTTGAGGAATGTTTGATGTTCTTGATCCACACATGTGCATTTTAAGGTGTTTTAAGTACCTACAATTTCATAACTAGCTTTAAAATCATGTCAGTGGGTTTCTAAGTTTCTAATTTGTATTATTTGACATTGAATTAATTATATAAGTCACTTTGAAATAAATAGCATGTTTTCAGATGATAAAGAAAACACGACTTAAACGTAGGCGACTAAAACACGGAATAAAACGTAGGCTTCTAAATTATTTTGCGGACCGCCTGGTTAAAGTTCATGGACCACTGGTCCACGGACCCCACTTTGAGAACCACTAAAAGAAATAAATACTTTTATTCGGCAAGGAATATTCTTACTGACCCCAAACATTTGAACAGTACTCCATAAAACAAAAGTTTTATATTTCAAATAAATGCTATTCTTTTGATCTTTCTTTTCATCATAGTCCTGAAAAAAAAGTATTATGGTTTCCTGAAAAAAATATATTAAGCAGCACAGCTGTTTTCAACAATAATTAATATTATTAAAAATAAGAAGTCTTCATGTGAAACTAAAGATTATGATAATGATGCAAACTTCAGCTTTGCCAACACAGGAAAAAATTACATTTTAAAATATATTAATATAGAAATTAATATATATTTCTAATTTATCTAATATTTCCGTTATTAAAAATATTAAAATATTTGAAATATTTAAACAACTATGAATGTTTATCATTTAAAAAAAGAAAATAGAGTAATGTGAATAGCAAATATAGTAATATGATCGACTAGGAAACTCATGGGGATCTGTTAATCAATAGGTGTGAGAACCTTGATTTTTAACATGGTTTGGCCCAACATGTTGACTTTCTTCCATCTGTTCTCTCTCCCATTTGTACTCTGTCATGTTCTCTGTTCTCTACACTCACTACAGAACAGTGTGTCCCTTCTGCAAGGCAGCATTGAGATGCTCAAAGGCAACTGACCCACACGATGAGGTCACTGGACCATCTTGAGCTCCTAGCATTGTTACCAACCCAATAGAGGGGAACCTGGATGCACCTACTTCAAATGTCCTTAATGTGGTTCAACTCTAAAACGTAAAAAAGAGCCACCACCAGCAATGTCTCTTCCATGTTTACACTATTTTTTTTCTCATGGCCATTTTTGTTATTACTGCTTGAATCTTGCCACCAAACTGAGGGCAGTGAACATGACATCACCCGACGCTCTCAGTTCAATAACACAATTGCTGTGTTAAGTATTCCAGGTCTTGTAAGCATTAGCTGAGATGTTTTAGCTCAGACTTTGCAGACAGTTATAAACCACCACAATGACAGAAGAAACAAAAGCACACAACGTGATTTTCTTAAGTTTTCGACTGCAATTTTGTACCTTTAAATGTGTTTTTTGCAGTCACACTGGAAAGCTTATGCATGATGACAGAGCAGTATATATCTTTGAAGTGTGAATTTCACATTTTTCTCTTCAATTGAGACTCATTTAAAGACATGACCCAATTTGTCATAGATTACTAGAAAAAAATATAAGCGCCATGGGAATGTTGACATTAATTTACATTCATATTCTGCCAAATTACAATGTCAGGGTCAAAAACAGCACTTTTTATATTGCATTTGGTTATTTTTATGTTAAACGTAAAGGACTGTGAAATTGCAGACTGACTCTAATGTCCCCTTTTGGTTTGTGTGGGTGAATCTCACAACTTTCTTTGTTTTGTTACTATTAGTAGTTTGTGGAAGCCAGAGTTTATGGTAAAGTTATGCAGCCATGAATAAGATGGTGCTTCCATATATGTTTTCCTCAAGCTGCATGTTTTCAATGAACTCATTCTTTTTTGATGACTAAAGTCAGATACTATATGTGTCATATGTGAGTCATATGTGAAAAAATGCTTCTGATTTAAGATTATATTAGTTAATTTAGTTTAATAGCTTTCATCCACACACTTTCTCCATCCAATATAAATCAGCATTCTTTATTCAAATGTATTTTTTTACTTGACTAAATTTTTCTCTTGATGTTGTTACTAACAGTTTAAGATTTGCTACATTTAAATTCAGTGGACCAATATATGTGTAAAGTTTGGTTTTATGTAAAGCCACAAAAATATGTAACTGCTTTTCTTATAATAATGGAGATTGATTTGTAAAAGCACTATTATAATGATGTGCAAACTCAGATGATAAATTTTATAAATGATTGTAGAGATGAAACAAATGTTTTCATATGGAGTATCATCATTTTTATGAAAACTTGCAATAATGAAAATGAATATGCCCTGCTTACCCATTTTGTGTCTTTTCATTCCTCCTTTTATGTGATGTTGATGTTTAGTGGTCTAAATTTCAATGTGAATATTTACCTTAAAGTTATGTGATTACAAACCTACATATTCTCACATTTAGTCTCATTGTTCACTGAATGACGTTTGGTCTTTTAACAAGTTATTAATGTTTTAAATTAGCCTTTTTTTCCACCAGAGGGTGTCAGTGCTTATGTATTTCAATGACATGTCACTTTACTGTTGCTTGCTGTGAGAAATACTAAATATCAGACATCAGAGCTGAGATAAAAAAAAAAAAAGTTAGGACACACTCTAACAGCTTTAAAAAAAAATGCCTTTGGAGAAGGCTTTATTATTTTTACAGCTGGAGATCAATTGATGGGATTAGATTAGACACAATTATTGTATTGTCCTCCTTCTCATTCCCTTTTGCCGAAAGCACACTGACTGAAATTTCTCCCCCAGTGTCCTTTTCTCCCTCATTCCTTGCATTTTGATTGGAGTTGCTGTCCACTTTTGAGCTGTAGGGCTCATTACATTATCCACTGATTCATATTTTTCTGTCGATGAGAAGAGGAACTGGTTACTTCTCTATTATGCTATTGTTTCAATGTCATTGGCCTCTGAACTGTAGGTCTGCATGCCTTAATTTAGACTTCTTGGCTCACTATTTTTGGATATTTGGATAGTCTCATGATGAAAGTATTTAGCTCATTCATTTTATATAAGGGGAGGGGCAAAAAACAAATAGCTTAATTTGTTAAATCCACAAAGAAGGAAGCTGGACTTTTAAACAAAGATGTTTTAATGTCAGTCAGGATGTGGGTCAGCTCTTCCAAAACACACAATAGATATGGTTAATGTCAGCAGTTGAGGTTGAAATTTGATGGTTTTGCATTTGAATTGTTTTAGCCTACATAAGTGTAGAGTTCCTCATCTTCTGAAGCCATCCAGTAACAATTAGATCAGATGTGAAATTCAATGATAAACAACCTAGTTGCCCAGTAGTTTTTATGGTCTTTTTTTACAATCCACTATGTTGTGCTTTGACCCTAAAGCACAATTGAAACTTTGAACAATGAAAGACCAAACCTTTACTCCCACCCTTATACACTGCTCAAAAAATAAATAAATAAATAAAGGGAACACTAAAATAACACATCATAGATCTGAATGAATGAAATAATCTTATTAAATACATTATTCTTGTTTTACTTTTTAAGTGTTGTTTAAGTGTTCCCTTTATTTTTTAGCAGTATATATATATATATATATATATATATATATATATATGAAGTTTGAATCTTAAAATAATATGCTAGCTAAAAGCCTGTCTGGAGTGCTTTTTTCTATCATGTCCCTAAACTAACTTATGTGGTAGTTTAATGTTTTTCATGTCATTTAGGTGTCAACACTAAAATTAATAAAGTAATTTCAGCAATAAAATAACAGAATTTGAATATCTATTTATTTGTTTATTTGATAGCCTAAAAATGAAATAATGTCAATCTGTTGATCATAATAACTGTAAACCGTTGAGTGAGATATGCAATGAATCACTTAAAAATAGCGTCAGGTAAAGTTTATGTTAGGCACTTCTTGGTATAGGCTATATGCAAAGTCTAAAGTGATGGTTGATCAGTTTTATATTTAAAGTTGATAGTGACATAAACTGCTGATGCGTTTCACAATCACAACCAAAAATAAGATATTTATGAGTATACATTTTCAATGCCTATTTCCTGAACAAGGAACACACTTAAGGAGTGTGTTTTTAGACCAATGAGATTTCATAATGTGTGGGTTTACCCAGCGAGACACTACAAACCAACTTATAAGAGCATTCACACTGACATACAAAATATGCCGTAAACCTGACAGCATGGATAGTTTGAAACTCAGTTGCTTAAAGTGCATTGAAGTATTCCATGATGTTCTCTAGTGTCAATGGAGGGCATCTGTTCTGGACTCTCAGTCTATTAAAGTTGTGGTAAGGTACGAGTGCTCTCTTGGAAGGAAGCGGGCCTTCCAAGAAACAGCAGCAACAATAAATATACAGTATTTGACTTTTCTATATCTTCAATAAGCAGACCAGTTTATCCACTCACTTCTCTTGATAAAGATATAGCCTAGAAGAAGCAGTTTTGTTTACTTTGAAAAGACATCAAACACAGTAACAGCTGAATACTGCCATGCAGTCATTTATAGGTGACGCCTTGGGGGTGAGAATGGGCTGTAATATAATGTCCTGGGCTCCATCTGGTCTCTAGACTAGAGAAAAATGCACAACACGTTTAAATTGCAGACTGTTTCTATACTGTATGTTTTGTTTAAATGCAAAAATGTCTATATTACATTTTGATTTCTTCCAATTTGATTTCTGAATTGAAAACATTTCTGTAAAATAATTTTAACATTTAATGTTAATATTCTTTCATGTTTATTCGCATACCATTAAGGTTAGGGTTAGGCATTATTAAACAAGCAATGAACAAAAATACTCCTATGATAGGCTATATACTTTTATAGACCATGTGCTGCAGCTCTGACTTTCTCAGTCACTAAGCAAACAGACCACGTTGACATGACCTCGAATGGCTGACCGATAAATCTGTGAGTCAAGTTCCATGCCAGATATTTCTAACATTTGCATGCATATGGGACCTGTTGTAAAACTTAAGACGATTATGAACCAATTTTGAAGCATTTTGTGGGCACAGTTTAAAGGGTGAAGAAAGATTTGGAAATATTAGGGTATTTCGGTTCATTTGATTTTTAAGGGTAATGTGTTTATCTTGTAGATCTCGCTGTATAAATATTTCGAGCATTGTCCCTATATTGAGAATATGCTTATAGAAGTAGTATGCAGACAGTGCAAAGAGAGAGAGAGAGAAAAAAAGACATTTGATCTATTACATAATAAAATATAAAGCATGTTGGAAATTACTTGAGAGGTCTTTCTTAGGCATGAAAAGGTTTGGACTTACATTCAGGTTAATCTGCTCTATACTCTGTTTTGTTCTTTCAATTCCCTCTTGTTCAATTTGATGTTGTGATGTTACACAATAAAGAAATTAATGTGGAATGTGCATCCACTCCTTAAAATTTTTCAGTGCATATGAATCTCCTAGTATTTTTTTTTGCTGTGAATTGTCCAAAATGTCTTAATGAAGTAGGCTAATACCGTGCTTTTAATGTAAAATAACACCTAAAATTTGAAATCTTTAAAAAAAGTTTCTACTAATTTTATATGCCACATTCTTGCAGATGGAAACCACACCCGCTGCTAAACAAATGAATGTGACACACAAACAACCACACCAAAGACTAACTTTTCAAAAGTAAATTAAGATTTTGTGTCTCCGTTCAGTAAACCGCTCCATAACTGAGTGTCTTGGTAAGCTTAAGGCAAAGATAAATAAAGACTGATCCTATATTGATCTGTAAAGACATTCACTTTTTGCAATAAATAATTGCTTTAAACATTTATTTTACAACAGTTAATATTAAGAGTAAACAGTTAACAGTTAATATTAATGTTAATATTAATATTAAGCTATATATATATATATATATATATATATATATATATATATATATATATATATATATATATATATAAACAAACAAATCAAAGGAATGGTTAAAATGCATACAGGGAAGCAACCAGACTGGAGACGTAAATTGTTATTAAAATTAATAGTTTGGTAGTCAAAGTCTATGACGGTAATTAAACTCTTTTTGAAAAACGAGTTTAGAAAACTACAACTCCCATTCGAGTCAAAAAGACCATCCTTCTATTACGATACCCAAATTCTATTGGTTCGCAACCGTTTGACTGACTCTACTCTAGCCAATCAGCTGTCACCTGAATGGATGGAATGTGGGCCACTGCCGGCGTAATGCCAGCGCGAGAAAGTGCCACGACTCCACACAGACATCGACTGACTCCTCAAGCTGGGAATAAGATTTTTTTTTGTTTTTTTGTTTTGTTTGTTTTTTTGCTGGCGTGGTAAGGCACGAGATAATCATTTTTGTTTAAACTCTTCCTGAAGTTATTCATCCAACGGAAATCTGCCGCGAGAGGAGGTGAGATTTAAAGCTTTTGTTATGGCGTTATTCATTAAAAGCTTAAACGATTTTCAGTAGCAAGCAATTAGACGTAAACTTTGATCTCTCCCATTTATTTACCCTCCTCTTTAACTATCTCGTAACTCAGGTGGGTTAAAGGCATCTTATAGTAATCACGAAGCGAATAACATGACTATAATAAGTGGTTTCACATTTTGATTTTGGGTGATGCTCCGTTGTAGGCAGACAGTTAATATCAGCTTTTCCTTTGTGACCTAGCAAATGAAAACTGTCTATTAAATACACATTTCAGCTCCTATAACAAGAATTATCCGAAAACTGTTTCAACATAATTCTGGTTCATTCTCGTTTCAGGGAGTAATAAGGTTGCTAACGTTACAGCTGTTTAGTTGTCTCACTCTTCATTTCTTATTGTAGATTCATTCAACAGCTAGCGTTACATTTTGAATAGGTGTCAAAAGCGAGCATGGAGTACAAACAAACACTTTTCCAACTAATAATTCTCTGTCTTTTTATTCAGTTTCGAAGCAAAATATTGTGAGTCTCCCCCTCAGTTTAATTTCTTATAGCACTAACGGTTTTAAATACTGTATAATATGTACGAAACAACAGAAATCAACTTAAAGGGATAACGTTACTCATTTTACAACTCCCCCAGAGTTAAACAGTTGATTTTTACCGTTTTCGAATCAATTCAGCCGATTTTCTGATATTTAGAAGAATTTAACTCTGGGGGAGTGGTAAAATGAGCCTTTTTCCAAAAAAAAGTGGAGTATCCCTATAAAGGTGGTCCTCATCTCCTATTGGCCCATTTTACTTTTAATAATCAGATTTATTATAAATGGATGTCATGGTATTCGCATTATACGTGTTTGTTTAATCTAATATTGATTTGGCTTATTTAAGTCAAGTCAATAATTTAAGTTATTTAAGAATTTAATTTAGGTCAATTCAAGTCTCTGTGTGTGTATAGCCTAGTCAAGGGCCATGCGAATTTTCCCCCATAAATGTAGCATTCCTACCTACAAGTTACAGATTGCCACCAAACCTCATTATTGTATACATGGTGTGCTGAAGGCCGTCTAGATTGTTCTTGCTTCCATAATTTGAAGACTTTTTTTTCTGCCACCATGCATTCATGCTTTGGTGCACATTTGAAGTGTGAGATTGGTATGGCAAGAATCCCATGGAAGCACCAGAGGACTGAAATTTGCTTTGGCAGAAAGCAGCGCATGGTGGAATGGAAAACTCTGTTGCATGCACAATGTTTGCATACTGTATAGATGTAACTTTTACCCCCAAATTTTGGAATAGAAGTTGAGGGTAGCATGCTTGGGCATATTTTTTTCTTCTAGCAAGTTTCTATAGAAACTTGTTTTTTGTTTTAACGGACCTCCTTTCCAAATTAATAAACTAGATGCTTCTGGAACATGGAATGTCTTATGCAGTGAATTTGAGACTTTCTTCAAAAGTCAACTTTTATGTCCTTAGAATAAATTGTTATATAGTAAAGCGATAAATATGTGTTTGATAAAGGAAATCTAAGAAATCCAATAAGGTAAGATGGCCTCACCTTACTTGGACATTGTTAACGCTTAAGGTGCCACTCTGGTGTTTAAAAAGCCCTTTCTGGAATTGATTGACTATATTAAACATGAAAATAGTGACATACGAATGCCACAAACCTCACCATTTTTTCCTTCCATTTATTTTTATCTTTTAGAAAGGACACTAGCAGTCATGGACATCTATGATCCTCAGACCCTTGGAATAGTGGTGTTTGGTGGCTTCATGGTGTTCTCAGCTATTGGGATTGCATTGGTCTCAACACTTTCCATGAAGGAGACATCCTATGAAGAAGCTATAGCCAAGCAGCGGAAGGAACAAGGGAAGACCCAATCCAATCAACGATCAGACAAAAAGAAAAAGGACAAGGCAGCAGAGAAGAAAATTCGTGGTAAGAAAAAGGATGATAAGCCCAATGGAAAGCTCCTGGTGTCAGAGGCCACCCCTGAGGTCACAGAAGTACCAGCCGAGCCTAGTCCTCTAATTCTTCCAGCCCCTGAACAAGTTGCTGATCCAGAACCAAAACAAGACTCCTCAGCTCTGTCCCCCCAACTCAACTTTTCTCAAAAGCCTGCTCCAGCGGCCCAAAAGTCTTCTCCAGCTCCTCCTGCTCAGAAACCCTCTCAAGCTCCTCCTGCCCAGAAATCCTCTCCAGCTCCTCCTGCTCAGAAACCCTCTCAAGCTAATCCTCCTCCTCAGAAACCCTCTCAAGCTCCTCCTCAGAAATCCTCTCAATCTCCTCCTGCCCAGAAATCCTCTCCAGCTCCTCCTGCTCAGAAACCCTCTCAAGCTCCTCCTCAGAAACCCTCTCAATCTCCTCCTGGCCAGAAATCCTCTTCAGCTCCTCATCAGAAACCCACTCAGGCTCCTCCTGCCCAGAAACCCTCTCAAGTTCCTCCTGCCCAGAAATCCTCACAATCTCCTCCTGCCCAGATATCCGCTTCACCTGCCCCAGCCCAAAAGTCCGTTCCAGCTGTCCCTTCACAGAAGTCTGCTTCAAATGCTCCAACCCAGAAAGCTGCCCCACCTGCCCCTGCACAAGCCCAAAAGGCTAATGCTCCAGCTCAGAAACCCTCTCTACCTGCACCATCCCAGAAGTCTGCTTCAAATTCTCCAGCCCTGAAATCTTCTCCACCGGCCCAGAATGCTGCTCCACCCACCCAAGCCCAGAAATCCACTCCACCTGAACAAAAATCCAGTACACCTGCCCCAGCCCCTTCCCAAAAGGCTGCTACAGGTGTTGCTGCATCCCATCCTACTCCTGAAGATGCCCAACCTGCCCCATCTCCTAAGGAGAAGAGAAAAAAGAAAGTCAAAGCAGAGTCTGCTTCTGCTGAGGTTCAGCCCAAATCAGTGGCTCCATTGGAGATGGTTACCAAAAAGGTTCCTGTTATGGCAGTGCCTCCAGTGGGCACTCCAAAAGGTGCTGCAGTGACTGTTTTGCCGGCCAAAGCAGAAGAGCCCAAACAGGATGCTCCACCCAAGAAGAAAGCAGGATCCAAGAAAAAGGCAGAGCCAGGTATTCTGTTGTCTCCACAAAAACAAACAAACATGTTAAGTATTCACATAGTTACTAGGCAGGATGCACAGACCTGATTATGTAAAGGAGGCTTCCCCCTCCTGGTTCTTGTTAACTCAAATTTGTTAACATAAGACATTTCTCTTTATTAGCAATAGGGATGCTAATTATTAATCAGTGATCGATTAATTGTCGTTTTAGTTGGTAAAAACATATCGATGGTCGATTACGCAAGGTCATCATTTCATTGTGTAAATTTGAGGTGCATGACGGCTCATAAGCAAAGCAAGTGCATCAGACACAAGGAAAAATTAAGCAACCATGCTGTAGTTAATTAAGTTAAGCAAGGCTATAACACTATGGGATATCACGGGGTTGGTTATAGGCTGTGTTCATGAAGAATCCAATCTGTTTTGTCATTGACCAAATTTATTATTATATTATTGTGAAGAATTACTAAAATATCTAAAAGTATTATATTTTAAGGCTTTTATAAGCCTTTGATATAATTCAAGCAAAACCAAATTGTATGGAGAACTCTTTTTCGTGTATAACAAAACATTTTCTGTAATATGCACGCACAATATCCTATGCACATTTGGAAAGAAAATAACACTTATAATAGCAGAACAACCCATTTGCTCACATGTACCTCCCATTCAAATGCACATTCATATTACAGTACAGACATGCACATGGGACTTTTACTTAACTACGATTCCAAAGCATAATCCCACTGCATTATATAATATGTTGTTACAAGCTGATTATTTTCATATAACATGTTTAATCAGCTTGTAAATCACACTGAACAATTCTCTGAATTCACAAGTCTGACTTGCCAGATGCACCAAATGAGCTAAGCATGCAAGATCCATGGAGCTTAAATTACTAATTGCTAATGCATAATTATTGTTGTAAATGAAAATCCTATTGAGGACTCGCGACTGTCAGTTGTTTGTGAACTAAATCTGCTGGAAAACGGAAAGCTGTTTTAAGTCCATTAAATGAAATGCTTGAATGTGGACAATTAAAGACCTCATATTATGCATCTTCATGTGCAGCATCTCTTCAACGCTTTAACCTCGGGGGACCATATTAGGTTAAAATTCATTTGAAATAATCTTCATTGTCTTTAATATCTTATTTTCTTTCTTTTTTCTTTCTTTTATATATATATATATATTATATATATATATATATATATATATATATATATATATATATATATATATATATTTGTTATTATTATTATTGCAAGTAAATTAAAGTAACTTTTTATTTTATTTTAAAAAATTTAATTATCAGTATCATTAATGTTTTTATCAGGTTGATGTAGTAGACACTAATATTAGACCCGGAAAATGAAAAAAGCCAGTCCAAATATTTGTGTAGGACCAAGGTATGTCTTAAAGGAAGTTTGGCTTCAGTATGCAATAACAGGATACTTCTGATTGGTTTGTCAGACTATAAAATGCAAAGAGATAAAACTGTTTTGGCTAGACTGAACTGATGACATCTACATGTAATAAACCTCCAAGCTGAGCCTGGAAAATCTGAAAATATGGTGTATGTGAAGTAGCTGACTCAGGATTTTATATGCGTGTTACTTCCTGGTGTCATTCATCTAATTCTGAGTACCGTCTGGATTGTCTCTTCTGACAAATAGCGCTGATGTGCTCTATTTCCTTTGTGGGTGGTGTGTTGGAATAACACTAGTCCTTATTTGCTTATGTTGGCTCTGAGTGGTTGCAGAGAACTCAGAGTAGGTTTATGTCTGAAGTGCTACTCACGGGGGAATTGAGGCAATGAGCTGCATTCTTCTGCTCATGTGCTGGATTTCATGCATGTGTGTGCTAGTACACTTGAGGTAGTTTGAGTTTAATTTAATTATGGTTTCATAGTATTTTGACTATTTTAAAGTTTGCAGTTAATCTATTTTTAGTTAATCTATTTTTTGAAGAGTAAACAATCCAGTGTTATCAGTAACTAAAACTATATATATATATATATGCATTTATTTAAGTTATTTGCAAGGCAATATATCTATTTTTTTTCTCTATAATATGAAGTACTAAAAATATTAAAACTAAAATAAAGAAAATTATTCATAAATAAACCTAAGAAACACAAAAATAAGTAAAACTATGTATAATTCAAACAAATAAAAAATTTAATAAATACTATAATATTATATTAATGAAATAATAGTCATATATATTTAATACCACTCACTTGTATTGCACTTGTTTAATACCACTCACAGGTATTGCGCTGCTTTGACCATGGGAAAATGCAGAGTTTTTGCACCAGCGTGCAGGTGGATTTCTAAATGCACTCAGAATTCCTCTCCTCTCTACGAAGTTCAGCCCTCTTGGCCCTGATCAAACAATACGTTTGCCACAGCTGCTCCATTAGGGGAGCACACAAAGGCCTTTAGTGACCGGACAATAGGAGTTTATTGCCAGTCCTGGGTGCCATCTCACCCTGGTGCCACACTGGTGCCTTGCTGGGACTGTCTAAATAACAAAGTGAGTCAATAAATGACATGATAGCAGCACAAGCACCAATGTACGAGTCTAGTTAACAGTATCGTACACGTCATTCCCTTGAAGCTGCACTTTTTTTTTTTTTACTGAGCTGATCTGAATTGGATGCTGATTGATTATGCTGCGTGTTAGGAGTGTAATAAATGGGTTAGAAAATTCCCTGTTAAACACAGAGTTTTACTATATCACTGTGCTGGGCTAGAGACTGATCTGCTGCAATGGAGATCAAGGAGGCAACTGTATCTTCTCTGTGGATGGCAGTTATCTCTGATTTTTGTGATTTGTGTCCCTTTTACTTGTGCATAACCTCAATAATTGATCTGTTTTTTTGTCTTTTTTTTCTCCCTCTCTAGCGATAGCTGCAGACCCCGCAGACAGCCCACTGTTCCTGCCCTATAAGGCTCTGCTTTCCACGGTGAGGAGAATGGAGTTCACTGAAGTAGAGGCCCAGAAGCTCATTGAGATTCTGTCTGATAAGACTGGCATTATTCAAGACACATGGCACAAGGTATTGCCAACTTCCTAAAGTTATGTTTTTATGTATTATTATACCCATCACTTTATTAAAACTCATGCAAAAGTTTGTCTTAACAGTGTTTCGTGCATGTTTATAGGCTACACAGAAGGGTGATCCTGTGGTTGTGCTGAAGAAACAGCTGGAGGAACGAGAAAAGCAGCTGGCAGCTGAGCAGGAGGATTCAGCAGCTGCTAAAAGCAGACTGAGAGATTTGACTAAAGTAAGGCCTGAAACACTCAAGCTAGTATAAAAAAAATGCATACAAAATTAAGAAAAGTTTGATATGTGTGTATGCATCAAGCATTACAAGCACTCTATCGTTATGGACTCTATTAGGTGAAAATTTGACAGTCCTTTTATAACATTTTTTTCTTTAGTCTGATATTGATAGTTGCAAGGTTTGAACCTATGATGCCATTACAATGTTTGGGGTCGATAAGATTTTGTAATGGTTTAAAAGAAGTCTCTTATTCTCACTCATTTATGTGATCAAAAATACAGTAAAAAACAGTAATATTGTGAAATTTACAGCTATTTTTGATTTTAAAATGTAATTTATTCCAGTGATGCTAATACTGAATTTGAGAGGGCATTACTGCAGGTTTAAGTGTCATTTGATCCTTCAGAAAACATTCTAATATGCTCAAGAAACATTCTTAAAAATAATATTGTTTACAAATGTGCTACTGAATATCTGAAACCATGATACATTTCTTAGGATTCTTTTAAGGAGATTTTTGTTACATTTATTTTTGTACTATTATAAATTGATTTATTTTTTTAATAAAATTAAATATGTTATAACTGAAAAAAGTATTATTTGGTAATTTGCAGCTAAGATGTTTTAAGCACCACACTGCATTGAACAAGAAACCACTAGTATTGTGATGGCCTATTTTCTGGCCCGATTATGACCTGTGTTTGTGTGCAGGAGCTGTCTGTGGAGAAGTCAAAGGTGGCATCTGTCGAGACCAGGTTGAGCTCTCAGCTGAGCAAGCGAGAGCAGGACATCATCGCCCTGCAAGCACGCATGCAGGCCAGTTATCAAGACCACCTCGCTGAGTCTCAGCAGCTAAATGCCAAAGTGAGAATTTAGCAAATTCTCTACTGTTAACCTGCATGGTAGCATGATAATGAAAAGTTATGAAATTGCAAGGACATCAAGCAAATAAAATTGTTTAGTAGGACCGTAAATTAAAATAATAACTGCATGGTAATTTGGGTTATTAATATGATTATCCTCAAATTATGATTTGGCTGAAATTATTAAATGTTTTTTGTGAACATTTGTAGTAGATTGTACCGGTGATGGTTTTTGTCATTATATTATTAGTTTTAATGTCAAAATTAGGTAAATGTATTCAATTTAACAGGATTAGATGGTTTTAATCAATCACATTAGTGAGCTTTGGCAGCCCTAATATTTACGTGACATGCCTAAGCCCTTTCTGTTCGTTCTCAGATCTCGGCTCTTCAGGACCAGTTGGAGAAAGGCCCTAATGCTCAGCTGGCCCGTCTACAGCAAGAGAACTCCATCCTCAGAGATGCGCTTAACCAAGCCACCAGTCAGACGGAGAGCAAGTATGAACCTACAGCTCCTGCCAAACCCCAAAAATGTCTTGCTTGTTTAATTTATCTTTTTCAGAGACCACACCATGATGTTCAAAACCTTTGACCAATATTGCAACAGACTACCTAGCATGACATATAATAGATATAGGAACCAAGCAGTCGTGGTTGCCTACAATAAAATTGAGTGCTATTTATTTTAAACTTGCCCTTTCCTGATATTTGTGTGCACGATTCTTCATGACTCATTCAAAAAAATTTTTATTGTCTTCATAATTTAGCAAATATAATGACATTCTGCCTCCATTCATTTATTGTTATTTGCTTCTTTATTGGTTCAGACAAAATGCTGAATTGGAATTTTTATTTATTTATTTGCTTCTTTATTGGTTCAGACAAAATGCTGAATTGGCCAAGTTGTTGTTTTTGCTAAATATATACTACTAATACTTTTTTTTTTTTTTTTTTTTTACATCTTTTTAAGTCCCTGGCACCATTCTTATACATAACATACATTTTGATGGAAACCAGATAGAATTTCACTTGGATGCTTATCAATTACATTAGCAAAATGTGTTGCGAATGGTTTCATGTTGACTTTAATACCACACTGGTGTGTTCAGACTGTTGTTGGTTTTTTTTTTCTCTCCATTTAATTGTTGTTATTATTATTATAGACAAAATGCTGAATTGGCCAAACTGCATCAGGACATCATTCGGCTCAATAAGGAACTGGTAGAGAAGAATGATTCCTTGCAGGCTGAAGAACAACTCAGGAAAAATCTGGAGTCTAAAGCTGCCACAGCTGAGAAACAACTGACACAGCTGCAGGTAAGAGGTCCATCCTCCTTTAACCATTCTGTGCGCCACAGATGCATATATATTTATACTGTATATATATGCTGTTTAATTTTCATAATCAGCATAGATGTAAAAAATAATAATAATAGCATTATAACATTAATTGAAACTAAATGCGGTTTTGTAATGGCTACAACACATACAGTGGGCCACTGGGCCTATACAAACTCTCTAAATATTGACATTAACTATGCTGTAGAAATGCAGTTTGTTAGTAGTAAATTGTTACAAAACAGCAGAACAGCGGCCGTGTTGTTTGAAGACGTTGTTTGAAGAAGTGCACACACAGCCGGGGCGCTCTCTATCTCCGCTCGTTGCGCTCCCAGTGAAGCGCAGCAGTCATTCTATTCTACATCACTCACCGATCAAAAAAGACTTTGGCGGGACAAAAATTTGCTTTGGTGACCGCCAAAAAAAATTAAATGCTGGAAAACCCAAATAAATAATGAGATATTATATTGAAATAACGACTTAATGTGTCTCGAAATATATAATTAATAAATAAACATATATATATTTTTTTCTTCACTTTTTCCTCACAGCCTGAATATAATTGGTTCCAGATATTATTTTTGGGGGTGCTATCGGGGTGCTTTGGTCTTTCTTGGGGGTGCTGAAGCACATGCTAGCCTCTCCCTACTAGCGCCACTGTTAGGATGTACCAACGGCCAGAGGTATAAATGAAGTGACAAGGGCAGAAAAACACAGTCCAGTGTGGTTTTAATTCCAAAAGGTGCAAAAAGAAAAATCTATATCCATCAGGAATAGGCAAATCTTCAGAAAAAAAAATCAAAAATCATAATACGAAAGAAAATAAATCAAAATTGATTTACATAAACGAATGTCAGTTGGCTATGCCAATATACAGGCCCACAACTACAAACGAGCTTTTACCTCTCCACACCTCTCTCTTCCCCCAAAATGGCTGCCTGTTTTATAGGCCTAAACTCCTCCTATTTTTGGGAAATGCCATTTTAGGGAGAAACCTCTAAATTACAAAGAGGTGACAAGACATAAACAAACAAACTGTCATTATATGTTGTTAATAACCATGTTGTTTAGTTTGCTGAATTGTAGCTAGTTTTGTACCGAGGAGCTGAACAACAATAGCCCAAGCAGTGCCTCTTATGAAAGAGTTCAAAATGCCACTCTAATTCTCATAAAACCTCTCCCAGCATGAACACCAGCCTCATTAGAGCATTCTGCCACCACTTGCTGGGCTATTTAGCCTTGCACATCAGCAGGTATGAAGCATAGTTTCTTGCAATCTGTGTGTGTATTAAATAAGCTTGATAAGGCTTGCTGGTAAAGCTCAGCTTAGACTTTGAGCCCCCGGTGCTGGTGCCTCTACTAATGGGATTGTTCACATGCTGGCAGAACATTTGATTGCCAATTTGATCGCTCAGCAGTCCTCCTTGAGTTGGAACATGGGGAGAGCTACAAGAAAGTGCTGTCTTCGAGCGATTTGGAATGTGAGCCTGCCTAAGTAGTACAGCTTCAGACAGAAGTATTTGATTATTCATATTGGAAGCACAGATAAAATGTCTTTAGCTCTAAGAACAAACTGCGTTTTTTTCGCAAATCCACTGCCACAAATCAAAGGCCACTGGTAAAAAGCTGCATTTTGTTGAAGTGTTTACTGAGCTCATTTTCAGCATCTAGATGGTGTACTGCATGTGAGAGACGTTTTTAAAAAGATGTATATAATCTTTTTTTTTTTTAGAAGAAATTTTTTTAGCATTTTCTGTTTGCAGACGAGTCATTGCATGTCAAATCAACCAAATTTTGGAAATTTATCCTGGTCAAATTTTACTCTTTGTTAATATTTTTTTTCCAGAAGAAAGACATATAAATGATGAAAGTCAATATACATGCATAACATTTTATATTTTGCCTGAGTAATCCACTATTTTGTAGAGGGGGGTCAAAATGACATTGGTAAAAATGGCTTATGACTTCAATTTTAATGGCTTAGCAGGGCAGCATCATTATTTTAATATTACACAGAGATTGGTAGGTATATTAGTACAATCTGTTGTCTTTAGCAATCTTTATTGCGTTATATATTTTTGCCCCAAGTTTGCACGCCTGTAATTCAAGAAGCATTAAAGGTCTCTTAATATCCTTTTAGATTCTGATTCTTAACAAATATTTCTTTTGATATCTTAATGTTTGTATCCCTCAATCGGGTCATGGGGTCCATACGACCCCAATCGACATTTACTTAATAAAAAAAAAGGTTCTCTTCATCTCAGTGGAATAACTTTTCCACTAATTACTAGTTATGACTTTTCATACATTATCTATCTATACACACAAAAAACTGGGCTTGATTCGGTTGTTCTGAAGGTATGTAAAAAAAAAAAATTTACACTTTGGTTTTCTGGGTCAATATGACCCCACATTGAAATGAATGGGAAATGTTAAAAACTAAATATTTTCTTCATGTGTCAAAAAAGAAAAAAAAAATCCAGCATAAATCTGAAAATTTTTAGATGAGAAGTAAACATTAATTGTATGATTTAAAATATGTATATTTTTTGTTCAATTACTCAATCAATTGTTGGGGTCGTATAGACCCTGAAGCCCAGAAGTGTAAACAGGAAACGAAGACCATTTGAAGGTTAAGACCCAATATGGTTCAATCCCAGAGATTTTTTGTTTGTTTGTTTGTTTGTTTTTTTAGGGAGCTGAAAACGCTAGGTGCTCTGCTGAAGACGCCTATAGTCCTGTCCTTTTAAGCCAAAATGGGGGTCAACCTTGAACAAATTGCAACAGAATCTAATTACATATGTGCTAATTTGCATAAATACCCAAACAGATCTAAACATTGGGTATATAGCAGGTGAAAATATCTTGTAGAAATTTGTTGACATAACAGTAAACTATTTAATATTTAAGATCTGAATGGAACTCATTTAGGCTACCCATGAATATTAATACAGGAGAAGTACTTTAGAAACCAGCCTCTATTAATTATTATGGCAGAGATGATATCTAAAGGTTAATTTCTACCCTTTTCACCTGAGAAAAAGAATGAATAGGCGAATGAATGGGATATATTTGTTTTTTTTTTTTTTCGAAACGTTCCCCTAATGGGATTCTACTGGGCTTTTTTCCTTACTCAGGACATTGAGGATACAAAATCAGTTGAGTGTGCTTCTGTTGCAATTTGTTCAACCTTTTTTCATAAAATGACTGGACTATTGGGCGCTAGAGAGCATTCTGGCAGTGCAGCATTTTTTTATGTTGAGACGTTCTGTTGCTATGATACAGAATATCCACAGCACAGTTTACTTGTTACTGATTTCGCAGATAATTTGTTTCATACTTAATTTATTTTTCATCCTTTTTTTTCGTTTAGTTCTGCTGGTTGATGTCATTGTACAGAAAGAATTTTGTGATGGTTGGTTGGTGTGGTATTAGTCCCGCCCCTCCTCCACTGTGATTGGACAGCTGGGTAAAAAGTGACTGAGCGCTGCGTTTTACCCAAAACATTTTTCAACTCCCTGTGACCAGTAAAAATGCTGAGCGCTCAGGCCTTCAGCGTTATAAAAACGTTCAGCGCCTCGTTACGCTCATGCTGTTCTAGAAACTCTGCACTCCAATTGAAAACAATTGAAAACATTAGCCAGGCACGTGGAAAAAATGCTTTGGTGGACACACGGCCTTAAAGAAGAAAGTCTGAGGAACAAATAATATTAGTCTCATTTTTTTTTTTCTAACACCACAAATTAGTGGATTACTCAGTAAATATACATCCATTACATTTAATATTTGGCTTTTTTCTTAATTATTATTATTTTTTTACCAGAAATAAATCAACATTTTTAGCTGGGTTGAGTTGACACGGAATGACCCAGATTTCACGTCTTGGTTTGATGTTTTGTTATTAGATGTAATGTTAATGTAATAACATTTTTGTGGATACACTTAGTGGGATTTTAACATGTTCAAACCTGCTTTGTTCAATAAAACTTTGAATTCAGCAGAGTTGCGCGCTTAAACTTGACATGTGCTTTCTGTGTTATGGTTTGTCCCCTGTAGGCGAACTGGATAAGCAGCGAACAGGCCCTGCAGAAGCGTCTGGAGGAAGTGAGTGAGGAGCTCAGACAGACCCAGAGCAGCAGAAACAGCTTACAGACACAGCTTGAGCAGAAAGACACCACCGCTCACGCAGGTCAGCACCAACTTTGTTCTTAAGCAAGGAAGCACATTGCTGAATCACAAGATGGATCCAGATTGCTTCAAATCATTTCTGTGTAATTAGAAAAGCACGATAATGGTTCTATTTGGGCTTTAAATCCTGCAAGTTGTTACAGCTGCAGTATCACCAAAGTGCCTTTTTAGCAAAACGCTTAATCACCAAAGTGCCCTTGAGCAAAACACTTAACCTCAGGTTGCTTGTGTTGCTTTGGACAAAAACATCAAATATGTGATGAATTAATAATGAGAAATAAGTGTTCTCTTCCTATCCACTGTTTCAGAGGCTCAAGCTCATGTGGCTAGTGTGGAGGCGGAATTGAAAGAGCGGAGTGAACAGTTGGAGAGTCTGCAAAGCCAGCTGAAACGTATACAGGCAGAGAGAGAGCAGCAACTGGAGGCGAGCCAGAACAAAGAACAAAACCACAATTCAGAGGTGACACTCCACTTTCCATGTCCCAATACATTTATCCGTGTCGCATAATAATAGTTATTTATTATATGTTGTGTATCAACTATTCAATTTCACCTTATATGAAAGTCTCATAAAATAATTTGTAGATGTCAAATTGAATAAATCCCTTCTTCTGGAGGGCCACTGTCCTGCAAAGTTTACCTCCAACCCTAATTAAACGCATCAGAATAGCTAATCAAGGTATTACTAGGCATACTAGAAACATTTAAGGCAAGTTGGAGATAAATTCTGCAGGAGAGTTGCTCCCCAGGACCAAGTTTGGACACCCCTGATCCTAAAGCAACTTGCACTTGGGGTATACAAGTGAGATACATATTTATGAATATATAATATACGGTGGAGGAGTAATTTCATAAGAATTTGCATTTATCGTCATTACAGGCTTTCATGGCTGAACTGGAGCAAGCAAAGAGCAGGTAAGATTTACCGTTTGTGTATGATGTTTTTTTAGGATTGTTTTTGCCTTGTATTCCAATGAAAGCATCTATATATATATATCCTTAAAACATGGCTTTAACTGGAAATAGGACATTTACTTGAGATGCAGAAGATAAAAAGTTTTTTTTTCATTGATATTTTCTTGTATTTAGCATAAACTTTTCCAAAATTTTAAAGAGCTTTGTACATTTATTGATCATGAATTCAAATGAACTGTTTAATCTCTAGCCTGAAAGAGAAAGAAAGTAGAGTTTCAACTCTTGAAGAAGAGCTGGCCCAACTCAAAAACACCATCGCCAATCAGGTGCCAGTTTCATTAGTAAATTTAACTTGTAGTGTATACCATGTTTTTTTATTGTACTACCTTATTTGAACTAATCACATGTCCCCTTCAGATGGATAACACAAACGAGATGCTGGAACTGCAGCACAGGTACAATGATGTTTTATGCTGCTTTACAAGTATATTTCAGTAGTGCTTAGATGATTTGAATGATTTTAAATTGTTTATTTTATTACTTCTTTTGAATTAAAGCATAAAAGAAAAGGATGCGCAAATAGAAACTCTTCAGGGAGAACTCCAACAGGTTAAAGAAAAAAGTTCTGACCTCAACACAGTAAGTTATCATATGCAAACTTGCAAACCTCAAACAACAATTAAATTCAGTTAACCATTTATGCGTTTTTTTTATATTATTAATTATAGCTTGAAAACACAGAAATGCTGGAAAAGTTACAAAACAGGTATGTGTCATTTGTGATCCAAGGAACAGCTTCACATAAATGTTTTTTGTTTCACATTTTAAGATATAATGCCATGTGTTCTCTCTTTTTCCTGTTCTTGTAGTTTGAAAGAAAAAGACTCTCAGGTGGTTTCGTTTCAAGAAGAGATAAGGCAGTGTAAAGAACAGTACAACACTAAAGTAAGTGAGACTGCTGTTATTATACAGCTAAAGTGTATAATTTGTTTGTTTAAAGGGGTCCTTTTATGCTTTTTTATATTTTCAACTTTCTTTAGTGTAATGTTTCTGTTTGGTCCAAAGAGAGTTATCCTCTATATCAGTAAGCTCTGTTTCTCAACTCCCTAAAAACATTTCCGAAACACGCTCAAAGCGGTGGTCCAATCACATCACACTTGTCCAGCTGACCAATCAGAGCACATTTTGCTTTTGGAATGAGGTGCTTCATAGAGACTGAAACTAAGCAAAAGCTACATCCTAAGTCACACACTTCCCTACTATATAGAAGGCAAAAAACAATATGTGATTGAAGTATGTATGAATTCACAGTACTCATAAAAGAGTAGTCAAAGTACCCAGATGACTACTGCTTCTGGTGAGTTTCTGAAGTGCAATATGATGGATATCCAATGAGGCCACTGGGGAGGATTTGTGATTGGCAGTAAAGCAACGTAACTGACCCTCGTAGGTCACATTGCTTAGTCAACATGGTGAATGCTGTGTGTCAAGATTACATTCATAATACACCCATTCATACTATATATAACATTTTTTTTTAGCGGTCGCAAAGTAAGAACTTGCTCAAGAGAATATGTTTTCAGATGCGCCCTAGATGTTATACACAGACTGGAAAGTGAGGTGCTGTAACAATGTAAATTATTTTTTGACTGTTCAAGCTTAAAAAGCTATTCTAGTAGACCCCAAAAACTAAATCAAGATATGGGGGCATAATAGGTCCCGTTTTGTTTTGGACATAATAATATAAATGCACTATAAATGGTTCTATAAATGCACTCTTCATTTACAGCTGGAAGACAGTGCAGCCAAACTGGAATCACTACATAAAAGGTACATATTCAGTACTACTGAAGGCCACTGCATCTTTGTTCCTGTCAGCCACCCACATTAAGATCATTCTTTGTTGAGTTGTTTGTCGTGATGTTTTTCAGTTTATCTGAAAAAGAGAGCCTTGTGACATCACTACAACAGGAAATGCAGGAGCTCAAGGAACTAAATCAGTCACAAGGCCAGAGTTATGTAAGTAACCGAGACAATTGTGGACGTGTCATTATCTTGTATGTACACAGTGAGTCATAAAATGATGCGTAGGTAGCCTACATCATCATGTCAGCTGGGTATATGATGGTGCTGTATAAAGCAGATTGTTGCAGAGCTCTTTTATTTCCATTTAAGGAGTGTTGACACAAAGGTACCATATACTGTAGGTCTTTCTGTGTGTGTAAAATGTGACCTGTACGACTGGTATTGAAAATGGTGTCACCATATCAAGGAAGTGTTATTTTACGTTGCAGTTCTCAAATCTTACTCAAATCTTTTTTTCACAATGTTTCACTGAAAGTTTCTTTTGGATTAGTCAGTGTTTAGTTGTGCTCAGCTATTGCCTAAGACAGGATATAGAAAGTCAAGTTTAATAGGTTTTGTGCTGTTGATTTAAATTGTAATGTAAAGTGTGTTGTCTCTGAGCATATAATGTCATTACAGGAGAGTTTGGAGGGCATGCTGAAATCTTTTCAGGCCGAGACCAAAGAAGTTCTTCACTCTCTTTTTCCACACGTCAACATAGATACAGCACAGGTGTCTTGGATTTCAGTTTTCTTGTTTCATTTCTCAGTTTTGTTTTTGGATTCACTTGTAATGTTGGGTTGTTTTTGAAATGCAAATGGATGTATCATAAGTCCCTCTATAAGTACACTATACAAAGTTGGAGGTTGGAAAGATTTTTAAAATGTTTTTGAAAGAAGTCGCTTATGCTCATCATTATGTCTCTTAAGGCAAATTTTTTTTTTGGATCAAAATACAGAAAAAACAGTCATATGTGAAATATTACCATTTAAAACAATGGTTTTCTGTTGTAATATCTTTTAAAATGTCTATTCCTGTGGTGACAAATGAATTTTAAGTATAATTCCTCCAGTCTGTAGTGTCGCATGATCTTTCAGAAATAATTCCAATATTCTGATTTAGATCTCAAGAAGCATTTGTTATGTTGAAATGTTGAAAACAGCCTGCTGGTTAATATAATTTGTGGAAACCATGATAGATTTTAATTATTTTTTTGCATTAGAAATATTTTGTAATGTCAAACGCTTGAGCAATTAAATACATCGGTGCTTAAAGTATTTCTTTCTAACAAAAAATCTTAGTTACCCCAAATGGTAGTGTACTTAATCTTGTTATTGACAAGATGTACATATCTTCCATCACTTCCTCTATTCACATCCTTAAATGGTGCCTAATCTGGAGTCTCTCTTTCTTTTCCTTCAGACCAAATGGCTTCAGAATTTTGCTGTGAATGTACAAGAGGTGCTAAACCAGAAGCAACAGAGCCAAGAATCCCAGCTAAGCACAGAGATGGAGGTGAACATGCTGCAGTTTCTGCCCTTGTGCCATTTTTATCTTTGTGGCCCTTCATCACTCCCTAGTGGTCATGTAAGAGCATTTCTGTAGTTATTACAATGTTGTTTTATTATATAGGAGTTAACGGGCAAACTACAGGCAGCCCAGGAGAGTCAGTGCACACTACAGTCTGAGTGTGAACAGTACAGGAGCGTACTGGCTGAGACGGTGAGATTATACACTATTAATCTGTTACATTTGAATGGGAATGACATTGAGCCATGTTGGTTTAATCTTATTCTGTAGGAGGGGATGCTGAAAACACTTCAGAAGAGTGTAGAGGAAGAGGAGATGGTGTGGAGGACCCAGATATTGGAGTCAGAGGACAAACGGAAGATGGTGGGTCTATACACAGACTACACAGTCTTATGTAATCTTCCAAATTTTATGATTTAGTTAAATTTGAACACTGCAATTGGCAAAGTAACTTTGCGTCACTGTTGCACATTCTACGGGCTCGTGGCTTCAGTGCAAATCACAATCGGTGAACACCACACATTAATGCAAAGCGATTTCTTATGATCTACTGTTGATGACTTATGACATTGTTTACATTGTAATATGTTGAAGATTGTTGTAAGAGTGCATATTTTATCTCCCTCATCTGTTTGAATGAGCAGTAAATGAGTAGTAAAGCTTAGACATTTAAAATAGCCTCTGTGTATTTCAGACTTGTTTATAAATTTAAAGTCCAACGTCTTGCATACAATCTTCTTTTTCCTGGTTGTTATTGGTATTTTGGTTACACACAAACTAAATTTTAGGTTTATTTCAACAAACTCTTGTAGCTTCCGGGCCACCCCATTTGATATAAAAACTAAAAACGTTAACACATTTAGATTTAAAGGAGAACTCCGGCGCAAAATGAACCTTTGGTCTAATTACACATCGGTACCTAGTCGACCGTTCTCTGAGATTTGTTTTCATGATAATTTTATTTATTTTTATTTTTTTACTTATTAAATGCCCCCATTACTAGCATTATACGTAACATTGACTGGGTACCAATGTTTTATTAGACCAAAGGTTCATTTTGTGCCGGAGTTGTGCTTTAACTAGTATTAGCACAAAAATGGTTGGTGTCTTAAAAAAAAAAAAAAAAATTACTATTTTATCAGCAAAAACTAATATCACTAATTTAAATGTATTATTTTATTGGACAAACCAATTTCAATACAAATTAAATTGAGTTTTTTAAAACTGAAGTTACCCTTTGTAGTTTCTAGTTAGTCCTTATAGGATTACATGATACTGACATGCATGATTTATTTTGAGATCATTTTTTTTTTTTTTTGGATAGACATAAGGTACTATTTTATTTGGAAAACACTGCAGATACCCTGCATTTATACACAACAAAAGCTAATATTTAGTTGTATGCTACTTCAGTAGTTTGAACTAAGTTTATAACAAAGAATTACCTTTATAACAGCTCTCAATATTTCTCTTTGAATCTGTTCCCTTATCTTTTCATGTTTTTTCCCTGAGTGCAGCTTGAGGAGAAAGTGTTGCTGCTTGAGGCCCAGGTGGAGAAACAGCTGCAGTCAGCTTCCACTGACGGCCAGAGCCAATCTGAAGAGATGACGCACGTGAGTGCACACTCCTGCCTAAAGGCCTATTCACTAAAACACAGTATGAGTTAAAGCAAAACCAAGTCATCTTAGTCATTCAATCCATTATTAAATGTCTTCTAAATAAGAGTTTGAGTTGATATACATGCAGTTTAATTTCATCTGACGTGGTGAATAGGTCTTGAACTTCTGATACATAAAACACATGATTTTTGCTCGTTCTGCTCTGCCATTGAACAGGTGGTTTGTTTGTTTTCAGCTGAAGCAGGTTTTAGCAGAATCTGAAAGACAGCTGAGTGTGGCCATGATGGAGGCACAAAAACATAGGGAGCAACTTTCACAGGTTGGTTTCCCTTTGAAATCCAAACATTTGCAAAGGGCTTACACCCATTATCCTTTTATTCACAATCCTGTGCCAGACATGAGGCTTTGCCAAAAAAAAAGCTGTTGGTTTTTTTTGAGTGACAGCTTCCTTTTCCAGGTCAGGCAGCAACTGAGTGACGTGACAAAGCGAGCTCAGGGAGTGGCGGAGAATGGGCAGCCTGAAGCAGAGGAGTGTCAGGTTAGGGTGCGACGCAGAAAGGCACCCTGCATCTCACTTGGCAGCATTAGATAGATTAATTAGCACTATGGCTGACTGTCTCAAAGCAAAGCAATGCTTACAGAAGTAGTCTTTCAAAAAAAAATGGTTGCTGACAAAAAATGATTTGCAGACTACGTCTGTATTAATTGTCTTCAGTGTCACATGATCCTTTAGAAATCACACATGATTGTATGATGCTTATTTGATACTCGGTTATTATCAGTGTTGGAAACAGTTGTGCTGCTTAATATTTTTAGAAACCTGTGGTTCTTTTTTTCAGTATTTATTGATATTGTTACAAAAGAAAGAATTTAAGTTTCAATTAATGTGTAATATTTTCAACAATATTTAAAAAAGAAATACTGTATATTGTAATAAAAGATTTCTATTTTAAATAAATGCTTTTCTTTTTTATAATAAAACTAATTATTCTTTAAAGAATCCTACAAAAAGTATCACAGGTTGTAAAAAAAAATATTAAGAAGCACAACTGTTTCAAACGATAATAAATTATAGATAATAAATAAGCATAATAGAATGATTTCTGAAGGATCATGTGACACTGAAGACTGGAGCAATGATGCTGAAAATTCAGCTTTGCATCTGAGGAATAAATTACATTTTAAAGTATATTAAAATAGAAAACCATTATTTTAAATTGTAATAATATATTCACAATAATACTGTTTTTTTTTTTAATGTAAGCCCGTTTCCACCATAGTTGAGTAAAAAAATTAAAAAAAGATAATCTAAGTCGTTATAATGAGAATTTCAGATAATAATAAGATACTGTAGCCTTTTGAAATCTTCCACCTGCACATCAAAAATCCTTGACACTACCGCAAAATACGTGGTAACATATATAACAACCATATGTTTTATGAAGATGTTGCACTTAAACTTAATGAATAAATGTAATATTCCAACTTTAAACTGATAGTTGTGTAAGGTCATGTAACACAATTTCCATCGTGTGCACAAGCAGGCGTCCTTCGTTACCGTGGTAACCGTCCTGCACATTTTTTTAAATTTTTAATTGATGTTATTTATATTACAGATATAATTATACTACAATTTGTAATTCTATGCCATGTTTGCTGTGATGCATTTACAAGGCTTTGACCAGCGGCTGTCGCTAGCGTGGCACTTCCTTCTGCTCTGCTGCTCTGTGCATGTGTAGAAGTGGGAGAAAATAAGTCATTATTACGAGAAGGTTATTCATTATTATGACTTTGGTAGTCTTTTTTTTTTTTTTTAACTAGACTATGGCAGAAACAGGCTTCCATACATAAGAGACTTCTTTCAAAATGATAAACAATAGTAATGTTTCCAAACTTGTGGCCGAAAATGCCATTGTTATGATTTACCAAAAAGTCAGTGTTACAATATGTCTCAAATTTGGTCATATATATTTTTTTTTTTTAATCACTGGACCATATACTATTTTTATTTTTGAGGATAATTTTCCCCTATACTAGAGGCTATAATTATGTACCATACACTATCTTTTTTCCCCTATCCAGTGCTGCCAATGAGGAGACGTTTTTCTCATAATTCTAACCGGTCATATTTCAGCATTTTTGTTTCAGCGGCTTCTGTTAACCTAGGTGCCTGTTTTCACCTCTGAATATCTCATACACTCTTGGATTTTCTCTCACACTCACCTTTTTAACCACTAACATGTGTCTTTTGTATTTGAAACTCTTACTTCTTTTTTATGCTTGTATTTGAATGCAGTGTGCACTAATGCAGCTCTTGTGTTGGATGGCATGGAAAGGTTTTTCAGTAGCTCTCATAGCTCATGTGGTACTGTATTGTTGGCTTGGTCAGGTCCAGGCTCAGCTGGAACAGACATTGGAAAAACTGCAGGGTGAACAGACTCTAAACCAGCAGCTTTCTGCAGAAGTGGAGCAGGTACAGCAGTGTCCATGACCTTGTTTCTTCTTGATTTTTTTTTTAAGCCCATTATTTATTGGACTCCTTAATTCCATCCTTTTTAGGCACAGGAGGCCCTCAAAAGACAGCTTCAGAGCCATCTAGAACAGATGAAGGCAGCTGAAGACACTGCAGTCATGGGTGATGTTGTTCAGCTGAAGGTACATTTTGACTAGATGATAAAAAAGGCACAAAAACTGATCATACTGTTTATGTTCACAAGTTCTAGAGTTTGATGTTGCATGTGAAATCACTCTCAAAGGGTGGAACGATTTAGTGCTTTGTACATTTTGATTGTAGCTTTTAATGCTGACATGACAATAATGCTTGTGACTTGGTGTTTTAGGAGTGTCTCGAGAAGGAGCGAAAGATGACCAAAGATTTGGGTCAGGCAGCCACCAAACTCCAGCAGCTGCTGAGAAACAGTCAGGACCAACTTGCCAAAGAGAAAGAGAAAGTCAGAACCCTGCAGGATCAATTGCAAGACAAGGTAAAAACATTATACTGTACGTAAGTTTATATAGTAGGATGAATAGCTGCATGTCTATGTTAATGTTGTTTATGTGCTTCGATTTTCAGGAGGGTGATGGAGAGCTGAAGCAAGGCACTTCTGTTTGAGGTGGAAAACAAAAAGTTTCGCCAAAAATTGCTGTAGCACCTCATTGCAGTACACGAGATCAAGGGGGCAGAGTTGGATCCAGATCCGAGGGGTGGAGATGGGTAAGATTAGTCGTGGTTTTAGGGATTGGGGATGGAGATGAGTAGGATTAGGGATCGGGTTTAGGTATATGTAAGGTGGGAGGAGTTGGATCTGGATCCAACTTCTCCCTGAATTTTGTGTTCTGCAGTGAGGACCATCTCAAAAATTGCCTTATGACCAAAATGAAGCATTCCTGATTTTTTTTGTTTGTTTGTTTTCCCTTGGTCTATAGTCTTGATTGAAATTGAATGAAGACTTTCAAGAAATCTAACTAGTGCACAAAATTGTATTTAGGAGGTATGCTGGAACTATTGTCACTTTACATTCCAGCTTAAACCTTCTGACTATGTCAGAAATGATTCCTCAACTGCCTTATATAGTCTTAGTGTTCTCGCATCTCCTCCTGATGTCAGTGTTAAAAGGGAAACTGTATGTACATTTTTCGTACATCAACTATAGTGCAATTAATTACTTGTAAGTGAATGAGTATGCATAATTGTATGGTGCATGGGAACAGAATTTGGAATGTCCTCTCTGTAGCTGGCTTCAACACCACTGTATAACTTTGATAATTAATAAATAAACAGCAATATGGATTTCAGTGTTTCAAAAAGGCTGTTCATTTCAGCATAATACATCTGGATTTAGAATTCAAAAATACTTAAACATTTTATAATGTCCAACATGACACACTTTTGTAAAACATGAGACGCGCATTCATTTGATCATTTGATTTTATTTTTCCAAGTACTCATTGCAGCTTTAAGTAACAGTCCTATTGTAATTTACAGCATGGGATTTTGGATGTCACTTTACTATATTTGATGGTTTGTCGTTTTAAACAGTTTTATTATTTTTTGAATAATGATCATTAATGTAAATGGATAAATATGGGATTTTCTCACTTGATCAAATGACATACAAATACTGGTTCCAATGAAATACAAAGTTTATTATTAATTGTTCCCCAAAAACACATACAAATCTTTCATTTGACCAAAAGGCTGATAGTGGGGTGTTGGGTTAGTGGTCTTAGTGGTGTAATTTTACACACATTTCCCCTCCAAAGACTTTACAACATCCCGCCCACCAAGTTTCTCCACAAGACTTGATGCTTCTTTGTCTGCGTGATCATTAATTTGCCACTCAAATTTCAAACCTGTGGGGTGAAACAAAGAACCATACATGTTATTTTTAACTTTTCAGGTTTCCTTTTTCTGTAAAACTGCTTTGGCACCATATGTACAGTAAGAAACGCTTTAAAAATAAATTGAAATATTCATTATAACATTAAAAGGACAATAACCAACCTGGCATTTTAGACTTGAGAGCAGACTTTGAACTTGCATAGACCATTTTATTCCTCATGGGGGCATCCTCAGGGGCACTGTACAATAAAGAAACACAAAAGCAAGATGGTGAAAAATTGTGCTGTCCTTATGGCTGCTTCACATCAAATGCATTGTGATCCAACGTGTTGCTTTTATATAAAAAAAACCATGCTAGTTGAACGTCTCTGACCGTTGCACCAGTTCTACATTTTATATATTTAAATACCAAGCCTTATTTTCATATAATTTTAGCAGTTTAATACAACTGAATACTTGTTAAAAGCAAAAAAACACACTATCATTCTGTGTAAACAGCAACAATGAGCTGATGGTATATTTCTGCTGGGTGCTCTCAAGTTCCCACCAAAACTCACTTTCAGATGTCAACAATAAGAGACATTCTTGATTGATAAAATTACAGCTAAAATATGTGCACATATTGCAAGAGTAGCTTTATTGAATTGGTATGATTTACTAATCTTACTAATATCAGTAAAATACTTAGCACAAGAATACAAAAGTAGATTAATCAGAGAGTTACAAGGGGTGCTTACGAAAAGATGAAGACCAGGTCCTCCTTCACACTCTCCTTGTTCATATAGGTGCAGTCGTACAGGGCGTAGCGGCACTCTTTGCTAGGAAGCTTATTGATGACCGCCTTAAAGACGTCCCCCGTGTTCTCCACATCTTTGACTCTCAGGCAGTTTTCGTGGTCCACTATGATTTTCTTTTGGTCTTCACTCAAACGCATGATTACTAATTTAAATCTTTCTTTCTCGTTGGCACCTTGGAAGCGCACCTTGATTGCTTCATAGTGGCTTACCACCTCATCACTGATGGCTACACCTGAGGCCTGGGTAAAATAAGGCAAAGAATAATGAGAAAACGTGGAAATAACTATACAACTGAACTATTAAGTAAGATGGCATTTACTTTCAGATGACTTTGAGGAAGACACAATTGAAACACATAGCAGATCATTGTATAAACCTCATAAAATTATCTATATTATGTTAGGTAGACACGTCTACAACTTAACAGTTTTAATCTTCATTCCATAGGTATTACCCATCTTAATATATGCTTTAGTTTAAGATATGAGATCTGAACCAGTTTGCGGCCTTCGCATTCCATTCCTTTACAAACAAGTTGAAACATGAAGCAGAGTTACACCTCAAGATGCTGTGGGTTAAGTTAACTTAGGAATGTATCTGAATAATATTTTTAGTAATACTTTCCATTAAAGTGTCCATGTCTATAATTTTATATACAACAATAGTATCAAAGTTACTATTGTTTTGCACCTTACTAGACGCAGTCAGACTTTCAGCTCACCCATGAACTACTAGTTTAAAAATATATTCAACTTTCTTTAACTACCATTAATACAGAAAGGTCAACTAATTTAAAGTCTATTTAAAGTTAGAAAGTCATGATATCTTAATATCCGTACACTACATCTTATCCACAGGCCCTGTGGAGTAGCTTGGTGGACACCCAAGGGACCACAGACAGACCCCTTGTTGAAAACTAGTAATAGCAATGATATGTAATTCTAATCTGCTCAAATCACAAAATAATAAGACATTAACTAGGTCTTACAAATAATTCATAAGCATTACTCAGACTTTATGACATGAACACCTTGATGTAAGGTGTGGCCCAATAATTTCTGTCCTCTCCAAATTATTCTCTATATAATCATTACAATCAATAAATAAATAAGAAAAATCAGCCTATAGCCAGTTTCACCAACATGCCAAAACTTATTATTATTATTATTATTATTATTATAGTTCTTAACTAAAAATACATTTAATACAGTATCAGTTTTCCTTCAGATTAGGTTTTTCAGTAAATAAATAAATATTCCACGTAGTTTGGTTAATCAATGTGAGACCATGAAAAATCACAAGCAGGAATTAGCAGAATGCAGTTTCAAATAGTTATAGATTGAGTTAAGCAGGCTATCACACGTAGCTTACGATTTTGAAAATTTGCAATTCAAATAACGGCATTGCATTAACGAGAATCATTATTTTACCAAATGATTTAACGGGATGCAAAACGCACACTGAAAGTAAACTGTCCCATTGTGAGGACTTACCATTCCTGCCGCTTGTTCTGAAACGGAAGAGAAGAAGTGCGTAGTTGTCTAAACATTAAGGAAGCGACTCGGATATGAACACGCCCTCTTCAGAGTACTGTAACAGCAACAGATCAGTCCTGAATGACCTGCTGAGTCTGACTTTCCACCTGTTGTCCGCAAACGCAAACACCTTTAATTACAAACTGATTGTGTTGTGATATATCCTGTTGACGTCCTGTTATTTATATTTTGTACGTGTGATAACAAAGTCAGATAAAAGTAATCTATTCTGTTTATGACGCATGATAGATTTCAGGTAAGTCAGACGCAGTTTGGAGGTGGAGACTGAACAAAACGCCCTTATAAGGAAGACAGAATATTTCAGAAAGCCTGACAAAACAACTATTTGGCAAAAGGGGCACACATATTATTTTGCATTAATGGGAGGATCCAGGTGTAAAAATGCACACTTGACTTAGGATAATCACAATGATTGTTTGAAAGTTGTGATGAAAGTTTAAAAAAATGAAAGTTTATTTCTGCTTAGTTACTCGGGGGCAGTGAAGTGTTTTATTGTTGTTGTTGTTGTTTTTACCATATATGGGCCATTCCAGAATTGTCAAGATTTTATTGAACTATTTATACATAAAAACTAATAAAACACTTTAAATTTACAGTATTTGCTGATCTTAAAGCTGTATGATTTAAAATGTTTATTCAGAAAATGTATTTTCTAGAAAAAAAGAAATAGAAAACTGTTATAGACAAATTAGGCCACAAATGTAATTTTCTCTGAATATTGCTTTAAAAATAAATGAACTGCTTTGAAATGGCATGTGGTAAGAATGTTGACACAAGAATGTCTATGACACAACTATGACACAAGAGTTGACATTGAGTTATGTATAACATTGGGAGTGTAACACCCATAGTCAAAAGACCAAAAACAACATTTGAAACCATTTTTGAATGTAACTGTCTACAGAAAAAAGAGACTTGGTTTGATGTGATATGATAAATGATCGTTAAAGCTGCAGTCCATAGCTTTTTTTTTTTGGCCTTTTCTCACTGCACTTGATATAATTAAACTTTCAAAAGACAATCACCAGTGACAACAGATTTACCCGCTGTAAATTGCAAAAGACTTAGTTCGGACTTCGGAGCGGCTACAGAAAAAAGAGTCTGCAACCGGCCCATGCAAAAACAAGGATATATATATATATATATACGAAGGACATTACATGTAGCCACGTAATGCTTGCTTACGTTGTTAAAATTAACAATTTGAGAACAATGTATAATTTGCACGGTTTTCCGTGATATAACTTATAAGCAATTGTTATATTTAATCAGTGTGATTTACTGCAGTGTCAGAACCAGAACATAAGTGGATGGTTCTTACTAGTTCAAATGACATTTTCCGGTGAAAATTATTATGCTGGTTATACTCTGAGAAAATTCAGTGATTCTGAATGCCAGTATCCACACTGGCGGTGACTCACAGCAGCACACTCTACTCAAACATTGTGTTCATCCGCGCTGTGTCGTGTTGAAGTACAAGTCACGTAAAGTTGATAATTCCGCGAATGACTGCAATTGCAGATTTCGAACAGTGATGGCGACAAAAAGGAAAAAAACGCAAAAAAAAGGAAAAACGCCGGACTGCAGCTTTAAGATTTAATCAGTGCAATTTACTGCAATGTTTTTTTTTTTTGCCTTTAGTTGGTCAGAACAAAACAAAAGTGGATGTTACTTGTTCAGGTGACCTTTTATTCATTGAAAATTCTTATGTTGGTCATACTTCCAAAAAGTAGAATCTGAATGACAGTATCCACATCGTCGTGGTGACTGACAGCCGCGCATTCTCCTCAAAACATTAATAATCCGCACTGTGCCGTGCCGAGGCACAGCCCACATAAAGTTGATAATTTCACAAATAACTGCAATTGCAGATTTCAAACAGAGATGGCAACAGAGAGGAAAAACTACGGACTGCAGCCTTAAACAATAAAAATAAATAAATTCTAATTTAAAGGTAGGGTATAGGGTATAACCAGCCCTTTTTGTTATTCTTGTAGAAACATCCTGATAGCAATTAATCACTGAAGAGGTCTATATACAGTATTAAACAATTTTTTTTTTTTTTTTACATTTATCGTGAAGGTTTCAGGACAAA